TGTTCTAGTTTTAGGGAAATGCGAAGTTTAGCTCAGGATAGGAAAGAGTGGAGGTACGTGTCCAACCAGTCTTAGGACTGACGACCTTATGATGATGATGAAGCCCAATTGACCTAACGATATACCTAAATATATCTGGGCTTACCTGACTAAAGTAGTTATTCCTCACAAGGATTTCTTCTAATTCTGTCACATTTTACGTCTGTCCAACCCTAATTGACCTAACGACAAACCTAAATATATCTGGGCTTATCCTTAAAGCGATTAAAAGCAAAAGCAAAAGTACCTGCTCTTTCCAGTATGTACCTGTTGCGCCTTTTGGCGAGTCTGCCCAAAATTTCCTTTTCGGATATTTTGTTTATTCAAACGTTATCCGCTTGTTCTGCTTTTTCTCCAGTTTCAAAACAGAACTACCACACTCTATAAATATCTAAGAGCCTAGCTACTGTGGAATTGTTTTAATAATTATCTAAATTAAGTACTTTTCTACGCTCAACAGTATCTTCAAGGGCCTTAAAGATTTCAATCTAATTTTACCAATTGCCAATCTAGGCAACGACTTTTAGCAATCATTTATTTTTGTTAGACCTAATTAATTCTACCTAGACTCTTCAATACCACCTCTTAATTTACTTTTAATTACTCGACATCCGAAATTCCGAATAAATTTAAATTTCTTTCCGAATAGTTTTCTGTTGACGCTTAAGCATTTACATAATTAACGAAAATTCAATAGCCAAATTAAAACTTCTACCTTTATCGCTCGATCGCAATAGCTATGCGCTTATCCTTCTATTGTGATAAACTAATGCATTTGTTTAAATAAGGCAATGCAGTAGCAATTAATATGCATAATAAAATTACTTAAAACACTTACCGGCAACAGCATATCATCCAACAGGTAGAAGTTAAACTCGTTTTTAGCAAAAAGTCAAATTCAAAGTACCTACACAATATATTTTATACGTATTTAATCACTTTATTTAATAAGAAGCACACACGGAATTAATAAAATTGTTTTTTGTTCATAAAGCAGCTACATCGTACACAACAATATCACGTTTAGAACTAGTACTTTAATATTTAACCTCTACAAACATACGGAGGACATGATGATAATGTTTTATACACATCGGAAAAAAGCCAACTGATTATAAGCGAAATATCGTTTAACAGTACAATTTTCTTCATTGGTACCACCACACTTGATATAAAATGCTAATTTTCCTGAAAATCTACTGCTATCAATAAAAATATATATTTTTGATTACAATACAGCAATAACCGCGATATTTTGATATTTACATTAAAGAAATACGAATTTATAATTAATTTAAAGAAATGCGAACAGTTGAACGCATTAGTATTACATTTATCGAGGTGGTACAAATGTAGCTTGTGTTTTTCGGGTTGTTCGTTATAAATTTTCTTACCAATAAACTGGGATTCTATTAAACAAGTGAAAAAGCGATTAATGGCAGATTAAAGGTGTGTATACAACAAATGAACAAGAACGTGTTCGAAGTAAGACGCAGCGGAACAAATATGTCTACTGCGGCCCGGCAGCTAAAGTGCAACAAACTCTCTCGGTCTATCTCGGGATTGTTCGCACTCCATCCGTTTCTAAGAGACGCTTTATGGGATTGGCTTGTTTTGGCTTTTAAAAAAAGCGCAATAATTGAATTTTTATAAAATACAAATATATTTAATGTATATGTATTATATTATTAATTTATTAAAATATATGCTTGATACGTTTGTACAAAATTTAAATCAGATTATTCATTGGTGTGCATTTTAAGCCGTTGGGTTGACTGACGACTGTATTATGTCCGTGCAGGACATCGCTTTCGTTGACCTGAAAAAGGAAAAATTATCGTAGCAATTAAAACTAACGAAAAAAACGGGATATCAATCTTGTCTGAATACATACATCGACTTATTTCGAGTTCTTCTGCAAATATGTAATGCTACTGGACCGCTTTTGATACTTTTAAATAGCAAGACCGCTTCTGCATGTGATATGTCATGGCAAACATGTCCATTTACAGCTAAAATTTCATCCCCTAAAAGAGAAAACCAGTTTATTTATATAGCGATGCACTTAATCTCACATGCACAAAACCCAAAAATAGACGCTCATTACTAACAAGTCTTCTATCTAATGACCTATGTATGTCTCAGAAATACCTTATCTAAATCCTTCACATTTACCTCTCTATAACTGACCTCACTTCTCTAGTCTTAGTTTTCTAAATTGTGTGTATGCCCAAAGTACCAAAAGTCTCAAAGGGTCTGCCTCAAATCTTCCACATTTAACATCTCATCAAATCTAACTGACGCCACTTTACCTGTCCTTAGTATAAAGGATTTGTGCCTATCTAGACCAATCAATGTCTCACAAATACCTTATCTAAACTCTTTACATTTACCTCTCCTTAACTGGCCTCACTTCCCTAGTCTTAGTTTTGAAATTTTGGATCTACCCAGAGTATTTAAAGGGTCTACTCCAAATCTTCCATATTTAACATCTCATCAAACCTAACTGACGTCATTAAATCTTCCACCATTTTCGTCTCATCAATCCTAATTGGCGATCGCAATACCTGGACTACATTTCGTAGCTCGCCAGAGTAATTAGACTCAAAAATACCTGCTCTAAATATTTTACGATTTACGTCTTAATAATTGACTTCACTTCTCTGGATTTAGTTTCATATATTTTGGATCTACTTTTGGATCACATTTAGTGTCTCATCAACCCTAATTGACCTCAGTATATCTAGAGTATCTGCCCTAATAAGTCTTCCACTATTTACCTGTCATCAATCCTAATTGGCCATCATGATACCTGCTTTACATTCGAACCTAGCAAGAGTAATCAGACTCCAATAAACCTTCTATGTATTACATCTCTTCAAACCTAATTGACCTCGCTTTACCTATTCTTAATATTGTGAATTTGTACTTGGCTAGAACAATCAATGTCTCAGAAACACCTGATCTAAATCTCTCTGATTTTAGTTTTCTATATTTTGTAAACGGCCAGAGTATTCAACGTCTTAAAAGGTCTAGTCCAAATCCACCTTACCTGATCTTTGTAGCTGTCTCTGAAATACCTGCTCTAAATCTTCCACATTTTACGTCTATCCAGAACCTAATTGACCTAATGATCTAATTGACCTGACGATAGACCTGTGCTTAATCTTAAAGTGATTGAAAACAATTAGTACCTGCTCTTAATCTTCCATCTTCTGCAGCCTGTCCATTTTCGAGTATGGTCTTTACAAAGATGCCTATTGCACCTTTGGGCGAGTCTCTACCGCCGACTATAGTGAAGCCCAAAGCCTTCTTTCCGGGCCCTTTCTCTAATATGAACGTATGAAAAGTACAAACAGTGGACCTTGGTCTTCTGGGCAACGTACAAAAGTTGGTGGTCGCTGTGATATCGTGCACTTCGTTTTTGTTAATGTACAAACAACTCGAATAGTTTTCGGACGGTTCCTGGTACGAACGATCCGAATGTCTTTCTTGTTGGTTGTTTTGATCGGAATACGAGGCCAAGCTCCGCCGACTCATTTTAGAAGAGTTACTTTGATTCGCGCTGTTCTTCTGAAAAACCGGTTGTCTTCTTTTAAGGGCGGAAACTGGCGTCAGTTCCGCAGGATTCGTTTTAGGAAACGTTACGTTTTCGTAATCGACTGAACTTTCAATGATCCCCAATGGTCGTGGACGTGCTTGGTTATTACTTACAGTTCTTGAAACGATTAAATCGATAGTTAACGATGCCGTTTCAAGAGCTTGTTGAGCTTCATGAACGGTAATTCCAGTTAACCAAACTCCATTTATGTTGATTATTTTATCGCCGATTGTCAGGGAGTCATTTCTGAAAAATAAACAAGCAAACACAGTTAACTTACGTAGATGTGTTAGTGAACCTTGACCTAGTGTCATCTACTGTAAACACGTCTATTTTCTTTATCATAAACACATATGTATACCATTTATGCTATTTACCTATCGGCTATTGTTCCAGGGACGATTTGGACGATCACAAAGCCGTTCCTGTACTTCTTGGGGGTAGCTATGATGACACCAATGTCTTCAGTAGGGCAGTTCTTTTGTAAACGGACCAGAAACGTTTTGGATTTTTTCGAAATGTCTTTACATGGCAAAGGGGGTGTGACGTCTGGTAAAAGACGCGAGTTCAGATTATCACAGTCCAAATAATGAGCATTTTTAGTCTCGACTAATGAATAATTTCCGTTCGACGCTGAACTACCACACCGAAAACTTTCGTTTTCTAAAAACGAAGATGATGCTGAATCAGTTACTATTATGCCACTGTCCGTTTCTTCATTGTCCATCAACACCAACTGATCTTCCGTGTCATCGAGGATATGACTCTCGTCCTCGTGGAATAGCGGATTGTGTTTCTTCTGGAATTCTTCGACTCCGGGCAAGGCACCGTAGGAAAAACTACGAAGTTTCGCACTAACTGCTTTCTTTTTACATGACTTAGACACTGAAGATTCAGACGAAAATCCCACCTGGGTTTTGTAAAGTTTTGTTAAAAACCTGTTCGTGGAAGATTGCAAATATTTCTCCGATATTGCCCGCAACTTGGCAGAAAAGCAGGAAGACTTTGGAAGGGTGTCAAAAAGAAGATCGTCCGGTTGTACCACGTGAGCTTTATCGAAATCACTATATTCACAAAGTGTAGTTTTTAATTCACTCTTTTCTTCTAACGTTTTTGACGAACACGCACTAGAAGTGGACGGATTTTCTAATTGAGAAGCGTTTGATGCTGACCGAAAGCAGGACAACTTTGTATTTTTTACTTTATCTAGCAGAGGGTTCCGTTTTTCTCTGGAATGACCGTCATCAGCAATGCTTCCGGAGGAGTTGCGAGTGCGAGACTTATTTCTTTTTCTAGAGCACTTTTCTGTGAAAACTACACTCTCCTCAACGTTATAACAATTAGTTTCATTCCTATTGCTGATTTTATTCCTTGCCCACGGACCTGGAGATTTGTCTAACAAAAAAAAAACACTTTTAAGTCACAATTCTTTGATGGACTAATGACGATAAACTTCAATTGTACATAATTATATCGAACGGCTTGGAATATGATGATGAATAAACAATTACAGATATTGTCGCTTATTTTTAACACAGACAGCGTTCGTCTTACAATAATAAATACGTTTCTTATCAAAAACTTTAAATGAAATATTTTTTCTTTCAACAAAAACAAGTTCGATCCACTGCTGCTCATTACGTACGAATACTTTTGCTGAACAAGAAAATAAAAGATACCTTGTCTAGATTTGTGTTTTATTTGTCGCTTCGGTGTCTCTAAATCTTCTTTCGTAAGGTCCGATCTCTGTGAGTCATTTCGTAAAGGTGATAAACTTATAAGTCTTGGTGCACCACCTTGCTTACGAAACCAACGCATTGCCTGCAACAAAAATATTACTTTACTGAAACACGTTGAACCCGTTCAAATTTGAAGGGTTTCTATTTCAGATTTAATTAACCCATTACATTAACTGAACACTATTCTAAATAAATATTGTAATTAAGAGAAATGAAGTTTCACGCTTGATAGTTGCTCGGAGCCTTACCTTAATGGGTACAAAATTAATGTTAGGACAAAACAATTAAATAAAAAAATAATATTAATGGTGGTAATTGCGACCTTTTACTAATTGATATTTAATTTCTTTTGGTATTATGAAAGTAGATCGTAGAACAAAAGTTGTCCTATAAACCAGATACAGAACAGTCCAATACTTTCTGGCTATTACATGGTGATTACACCATAAATATTTGTAGAAATGAATAACAACATTATGTGAGGTATAAAAAGAACAAATAATACACCGATACAGAATCTTAAAATAAATTTATTTACAATTATAATGATTAAGAAGAAATACACAATTCCATAGATCGCAGATCTAAAATCATCGAAAACGTCTTAACGGGCAAGAGAGTTTTCCAGTTTCATATTTTCTTCGAACAGCCTGTACAATAACAGGGATTGCTTCAAATTTTCTTGCTTATTTACCACAGTTGAGACCGTAAAATGTCTAATGGCAGTTCTTATAATGATGGTAAAGATGTCTGGGAAAAAACCCCTTGATCAAGACTAATTGTGTATTTCCTTAGAGTTTTGTAATTTATTTTCATTTAGTTTCGTATAAGTACCTACACGGTACGTACACCTGAATTTCAACATAGCGCTCGAAGACAAGAACAATTTTCAGTTTTTATTTAAATGGTACAGCAACGCTACAACGCCTCCGTGGTAAAAAAAACATTATAATAAACAATTAACTTGAAATATTTTGTTCTCATATTATTTAAAAAATAAATGCGATGTGTTCGCGATTATACCTGGATATGGCAAATAGCTATTATTCATCGACAGATACAAAAGTTTCTATAAGTTGTCTAAGGATAAAGGTGAAGGTCATTATCAAAGGTTAGGGTGTGTAAAGCCGCTTCAAGGTCTCACAGTGCATTTCTTAGATGCCTTCAATCAGTCCCAAAGATCCCACTGATATGTACCTACAAGTTCCTTGTTATAAGAGAATACGCATACCGTTATTAGTTGGCAACTTTATAAATTCATTATGTAAAGTATGCATTATACGATAATTGCAATAGTGGCGACTTTATATCATTCAAACAATATTATAATGAATATTGTAATAAACCTTTTTGTCGAAGCATTTTCTTGTCATACAGTTTCAATATCTACTGTAGCATTTTTACCTAATTCAAAAAACAAATTTTGAAATAAGGTGATAGAAACATAATTCCATGTGAAAAATGTTCTGGAAATAGAGCTCTCGGTGTGCAAAAAGAAATGCATTCGCGAATCTAATAGATTCAAACCAATCTAGCAACTGTTGCTTTTAAAACCGGATAAGTAACGTTGTATAAAATAAAACAAAGAAAAATCAGGTATGTAGTCAACGATCACTTTTGTTAAAAACGTAATCGTAAGCGGAAATACAATCTAGAACGCCCTAAGCTGTGTACAATTGTTGTCTCAAGGAGCATACGCGCGTACGGCGACTGCCAACAGTAGCGTCTTATTATATTTGAAGCAAAAATAAAGAGAGTAAATCTATTGCAACGACGTAACAGCATATCTCCTTCTTCTTCCAGCATCCGAAGAACGTCGTCACTGATGCGAGTTGTATGCCCAGAATTCTTGGAATAGACGCAAAAAAAGCGTGATGAGCAATTTTAACATTCTCCGTCCAGATAGAAGTTATAAAATACTGGCGGAAGAAAAAATATACACCACATACCAAGCATTAACGCAAATTATCGAATCTCATGCTACATCTTCAAATTGAGCCCTGAAAGAACAGCAGACAAACGATGCTGTTTCAGATAACTTCAGGGCTCATCTAAACCATTAGAACAAGGTAAACTTCATGAGGTTTATGAGTACTGAGTGGAAACGACTCGTACAACACCAGACGAACGATGGTGTTCCAGGCATCTTCAAAGTTAGACTGAATCAGGCAAACTTCATGAAGACGATCTGACTGAAGATGTCTCGTACAGTATCACACGAAAGATGCTGCTTCAGACAACTCCAGAGATCGTCTGACACAGGTAAACATCATAAAGATTATGAACTCTGACTGAATATGTCTCGTACAACAGCAGACGAACGATACTGTTCCACACATATCCAGAGCTCAACTGAAGCAGAGAAACTTCATGAAGATGATCTGACTGAAGATGCCTCGTACAATAGCACACGAAAGTTATTACTACTTCAGACATCTTCAGAGATCGTCTGACACAGGTAAACATCATGAAGATTATGAACTCTGACTGAATATGTCTCGTACAACAGCAGACGAACGATGCTGTTCCAGACATATCCAGAGTTCAACTGAAGCAGAGAAACTTCATGAAGACGATCTGACTGAAGATGTCTCGTACAATAGCCCACGAAAGATGCTGCCTCAGACATCTTCAGAGAACATCTGACACAGACAAACATCATGAAGATTATGAAGTCTGACTGAATATGTCTCGTACAACAGCAGACGAACGATACTGTTCCACACATATCCAGAGCAGAATCAGGCAAACTTCATTAAGATTATCTGATTGATGATGCCTCGTACATAATGTAAAGAAGTTACAGTGTGTCCAGTCATTTGTCATGAGTATATCAATATTATTAAACGAATGTCCTTAGTTTTTTATCGTCTATTGTAATATGTAGGCACTTAATTCCAATGGACACTTAAGAATATTTTTTTTGCGACAGATGTGATTAGAATATTTAAAAGTTTTTAGCAAATTAATTTGTATGCTTCATGTCGCTTGACCCTGACAGGTGTGGATATGGAAATTTATTTATTTTTTCGTAGAAAACAGTTGATTGAAAAAATTCACAGCAGGTACTGATAATGCCTGTATCTAACTTCATACACATGTTAATGCGAAAATGTACAAAGAATGTGCAAATGTACGTGTGCGTCGCGATCATTGACAAAAAGCATTTCAATAACGAGAATGAAACGTGTTTGAAATTTCAATCACAAATATTTATTTATGTAGCAACTATAACATAAAACTTATAGAAATTTATACAATCGTGTAATATCATTATTTTCGGTCAATCCTGACTCAAATATTTCTCTGTAAAATAAAACACAAAACTATTGCACTGTAATTTAGTTTTAACTTCTTGTCTAATTGTAAACTATAAGAGACAATGTTATAAAATGATATGAAAAGCTAATGTAGTCTTTCATGTCGACTAACTCGTACAAGTGTGAATCTTTTTACGTAAAGGAACAAGTAAATTTAATATATGTACAAATAACTAATAAAAATAAAATATTCGACCATGAAAAGAGTAGATACGTACTTACGTACATGTATACAACGACAGACACGTTCACAAATTAAATAAAGGAACACCAAATGCTACAGTGATGATTCACATTACTAAAAAATGCTTCCAACAAAGATCCGCTTCAACAAAACAATGATTTAAACCAAACCTTTTCCTGATGAATTAAATGAAATTTATAATTTCGACTTCTAAAGATTTCCCTTTGTTGTAGTATATAATATTTTTAATAAAGAAACAAGGACATACAATAAGTGTGTTAAAAAATTCTCGTAAATGGGTAAAGGGTGAATCGTGAAATTGAAAAACGTTATTAGAAGGAAGTGAGAGCTTTGCTTTGAGTAACTGTAATAAAAGAAACTGTTCTAGACCTCTCAGGTATTCAGGATAAGCAACTAACTACAAAAACAATTACCATTTTTAAGTAGACATTACATGAATCGAATAAACAATTGGTAATGATCCAGTCAATACATACTTACATGCTTTCGAATTTCATCTAGTGAATGTCTTTGTAAGTATTAACATTATTTTCATTAAGTATCATAATAACCTTCTTAATTTCACCAAAATTAAACATTATTTATTTGTAAAGGACGGAGTAATGGTGCAGTTACTAATTCTAATAGTAACGATAACGGGATAGGTACTAATTTTTAGTTTTTTCTTTATAGGTACCTAATGTTCTTCCGCAAAAATGTAAAGTGCTTTCTACGTTAATTTCTTTAAAAAAAAAATCGTGCTAACATAGGGAACTCCTACATAAGTTCTTTATTTAAACAATTAGCATGTTTTTACCTTAGCATACCAAGCTGCGAAAAGAATGCACTATCTAGACATATATGTTCGAGTAAAGTCTACCATTGTGAGTGTATTAGTAAAGTAAAAGAATGTACAGACAAAGAATTCCGTTTTTTTTTTCTGCACAGTTGCAAATAAATGAACTTTAGTTTTAGAAAACTCATCAATAAGGAAAACATGTCTAACATTGTTTAACGCATGTACGTAATACATCCTGTATAATAATTATTGAAGTCAGCTAGTTGTCTAATAAATACCTAGCTAAAATTTTACGATAATACTTTCACTATTAGACAAATAAATGTACATAGTATATATATATATTACTAAGTAGGTAACGAAACACCCCTGGGGCAGATACTTTTGTTACGACTGGTTAGTGAATTTTTAACTTTCTCCACTCATCGTTCAAGATGCAAATGTCCTAGCATAGACACAATAAATTTTCACAAGTTTACGCAAAATTTTTACGTAAACACCTGTACCATGTGGCGCAATGGTATCCCCAACAATAAGGAAACAAACGAAGATTATATAAAATTGTTAAATTTTATTATAATCCAAAAATTTTTGAAGATTATTGTAACAAACTGAGTTGAGAATCAAGCTTACTCTCTAAGAAGTGACTTGAATGAAGTATCTAATTATACCAAAAATCTTTGGTATTCTTGCTGGTGTTGTGGCGATTACATGTTTCTTATTTATGCTAATTAGAAGTAAAGCATGGATAAACAAAGATACAAATCTAAGATATAAAATGCAGAAAGTTGTCGTCGAGAAGATCCAATAAATAACAAAAACTGGAATACCTGAATTTCTAAATAGAATTTTCATTAAAACCTATCTCGTAAAGTTAAATTACATTCCAGTTAATTATAAATCAGAACGACCTAATAGTAAAAATTCCTTCTACAGTTGGTAAATTCTGAAATAAATATAAATATTTCTCTCTAAGCGCACATAATACATTTGTAGGTGTGGCACACAAATAGAATTGCACACAATGTACCTACTACCTATTCGAAAAACAATCTTTAAAACTAGGAATTATTTGAATTTGCACAACTTAAGTACCAATGTATAGGCAACTTTTTAATTTTTATTGTGCTGGACAACAAAACTTCTTTTAACTTTTAAAAAGTATATATGAACGATTGAGGAAATAGGTACATATTTATGATGTTTATTTTATAGGTAATTATAATAATTTACCAGGCAACGATTCGAACAATAATTTATTAACTCTGTTAATAAAACAATTACCGTAAGGCATTCCTTCTTAAGTCTAAACTGTAATCTAGGAAAGACTGTTATAAAATCATTTCCTCTTGTGTCATGTTTAAATGCATAACATCCACATGATATCATTTTAAAATAGATGCAAATTATTATTAAATTATTAATCACATAAAGCAAGAGGAAACATTCGAATTAATTTCCTTTATTGCAATGCATGGAATTTCTTATTGGAATTGATCTATTTAAGTGCCTGCCCGTGTCCACAATTAAGTATATGGCTCCAGGCTAAAAGATATTACCAGTTCTGTTATAATCTTTCACAAAATTTTTCAATCGCTTAAACATAGGTAAATATTCATAATTTTTGATCAAAATATCGAATGTTTTAATTTCACTTTAAGACGAACTTCTTCAAAGTAAAAGTAAATTTAGTGAGCTGTATCGCGTACAATTAAAATTTTCTTATTTTATTGAAAAACAAAATTGCACAACAGGTTTTAATTAAGTACACGTCCCCATAGCCGTATGCAACTGTGATTTTCAAAATGAAGAAAAAGACACAAGAAACTGTAATTACAGCAACTTATTTTCCTCTACGATATTATTACCCCATGGTACAACTTAAACGAAGAGAACTTCGTTAAGGTTGTATCGCATAAGATAATAATGCCTCGTACTGGGCTTATCACAAACCTATAAATATAAATTATTATAGAAAGGATTCGTTAAGGAGACGCGTCCAATATTGTTAAAAAGATACTTTAGCTTTATTAAAGTTAAAAATAAAATTAGCTAATTGCCATCTTGCCATCTGTTAAAGCATTTAAGCAAATTAATTTGTATGCTTCATGTCGCTTGACCCTGACAGGTGTGGATATGGAAATTTATTTATTTTTTCGTNCGGTAATGATCAGTATCATTATTATCTAACTAAATATTTTATTTTTTGAAACTATCAGCTTATAACGATTTTATACTTGTAGTATATTTAACGTGTATGTACTTTTTAGCGTTCATGACGCAAGTTTTTTACTTGGTAGATATATTGTAAACTTAATTAACGTAACAATGGTTGATTAACAAATTAAATACTCAAAATACACATTATGTGAAAACTGTATTCTGTAATGTCTTTGGGAAAAAATTATTGTTATACCAGATTTCGAATACACGCGATGTTTACCGTTCTTTCTAGCGAATTATAATTTTGTTTGACAAATTTTAATTAACCCGTTGCAAATGCGACTAACCCAGAAGGTCAAATCAAAAACCTGCGGTTTATTTAAACAAAATAACTATGCATTTTTGTTTTTCTTAAGAAACACTACGGAAGACGGTTTAGTTACGAAAAGGCATCGTACAGAAACAAACTACAGTTAGAAATTTGTAAAACTACAGTAATTATATACGTATTTAACACGCACAACTTGGCTAGACTAAGATACATTTTGCGGTAGCAAATCTCACTCTATGTAATACTATAACATCAGATAGGAAAATTGCACAAAACAGAACTAGTTGAATAAATAATCAGTTAATCAATGCAGTTATTTTGAGCTATTTCAAAAGCAACATTCAGACAAAAAGTTCAATAAACTTTTTGAAAAAAACCTCTAAATGCTCATGAACAATATTATTTTAAAAATCGGTGATGTTTCTTTCTTCAGAATTGCTTTTTATTATAATAAACACGAGACGACCTTCGATTTCGTAAAATTAATTTACATCGTCTCCAAGCGAGCGGAGACAGAAGAATTATAAAAGCTGCACCTGGTAAAATAAAAGGGCCTTGCGGTCCACAATACATATACAAGTTGAAATTAGAAAGTGATTGCGCAAAAGATCGCTTATATAATAATCAATCCAAACGGGCACACATCAAACAAAATGCCGTCGAGAAATTCATCTCGAAATGCCAATTCGATCGAAAAAATACGAAATGACCGGTTGTCTTAGGAATGTTGGTAAGCAATACTAAACTAAAAGGAATGTAATATGGTTAAATCAGTGCTCCAACATAGTTCTGCTGAACTCTGCCACCACGAACGCTTTTATTTATTTTACAACGTTGTTCTAATTATTACATTCTTCTCAAAATAGCCAATTTAATAATTGATATTAAAACAGCAAAACTATTTGCTAACGTACAACAATATCGTTATTTAATATTGGTTAAATAAATAACAGATTTGGTTATTTTGGCATACTATAATTAATTGTATACTTGCTTTGCAAAGCTATCTTTTTTAACGCGAAATGTTCTAACATCAAAACGGAAATAAAAGTCATGGTTAACTAAACGTTAGTAATGCGAGTGTATTCTAGTTTGTAACACGTTAGCGGTAAACCAATTTTTATTATATTTCAGGTTAATAGTCTTTAATACTACACTTTGTTAAATAGGTACAACTTCCGCATCGTGGTTATTAATAAAAACTAGTTTCAAAAACATTTTTAAACGTCGAACTGACAATAAGCAATACACAAATAGACCGCAATTGAAACTTCTATAACTCGTGTTTTGTGTTTGGTTTTTTAAAAAAGTCCAAACTCTAATTTAAATAGCAATAAAAAAAGTTGCGCAAATGAATGTATCTATACCTATGAAAGTGGGCCAATGTCGTAACAAAAATATTACCTTTAGAAATATGTAATATTCAGCATCATAACATAATAATATCATACAAGACATTTATGAAAGTGTTTATAGGTAATATGTGTTATAGAAAACGTGACAGAAATTTTTACCATAATTGCGTTTACTTGTAAGCACACTATTATTTATAATAAACCGATATGAACAACTGCTGAACTTTTAACTGCAATAATATGTGACCGATTAATAACTCTTTGTAAAATTTCTGTGGATTTTGTAATATTGTAAGTACAAACTGATAAAAGAATAAACAGTCGAAGATAATTGAAAACTTTTATTAACTAATGGCTATTGTAGATTTAAATATTTATAACAATTACGCTTATATAAATGGCATACGTACATACACACATACATAATAAAAAAGGTTTTTGAACTTAAAAGTTGCGGAAAAAACAGGTAAAATTACTAACACTGCCAAATAATGCTTAATAAACATTAACTATCAACCATAACTGCAAAAATTGCAGATTAATGTATTTTATTGAAATAAAAAATTGTTTAGTAGAAAAATACACTTAACAAACACGAAAAAAAATAGTTTTAGGATAATTATCATATTTAATAAAAAAAAAACTCGTATGGTCATTATTTCCAACAAATCTATACAGAAAAAACTTTTTCAGCACAAATTAATATAAAAAAATTAGTAGTCATTTTACATTTACTTTATTACGAAATACTACAAAAATAATTCCAATCAGTAAAAAAAAACTATAAAATAAGTTGTCACTAATACTTTAACTTAAAAAAAAAAAAGTTTAATTTCGGAGAGGTATAGGTACATATAATTGAAAATGTGATTAATTAGCGTAGGTAAGAATAAATATATATGGGATTTGTTTTAATAAGTAAAAGTGAAATTAACCAACCTGTTGTATACATAAAATTATTCCCGCAAAATGAAACACATACACAAATACGAACATAAAATCGCTCATGAAACACTACACACTACGCTCGTTTGAGGAGAACTGTCAAAAGTACATTACACAGGTAAATCCATGAAAATCTACCTGCGCAATCTCTGAAAGAGCCATGAACAGCTACCTAGATAGATTCCTAGTACAATACTACCTTCCTACCTATGCAATTAACAGGTAAAATACAATTTATAAGGTTCCAGTTCAAACCAGCCCATTATGAGACTAATCGTTCAAAAATGCTTAGCGAAAAGTTGATATTGTATGTAAAACACAAAAAAAATAACTGCAAACAGCGAATTCTCCTTTCATTACATGAAAGCATCTGCACAGTTTAGTAATTAACTTAATTTAAACGATAAACTCAGCCACAAACGTTTTTTTAATCGTTTACGAAGACATGATAGCAAGCGCGCCATCATCAATTTTAAATTTAAAAGTTTCAAGATCCCGCCTATTACGTCAGAAAATTATATGAAAATTTAACCCTTACCGGTAGGCAACCCAACATACACCGCGCCATCAATTTTAAATTTAGAAGTTTCAAGATCCCGCCTATTACGTCACAGAAAATTATATGAAAATTTAACCTTTATCGGTAGGCAACCCAACATACACCGCGCCATCATCAATTTTAAATTTAAAAGTTTCAAGATCCCGCCTATTACGTCACAGAAAATTATATGAAAATTTAACCTTTATCGGTAGGCAACCCAACATACACCGCGCCATCATCAATTTTAAATTTAAAAGTTTCAAGATCCCGCCTATTACGTCACAGAAAATTATATGAAAATTTAACCTTTATCGGTAGGCAACCCAACATACACCGCGCCATCATCAATTTTAAATTTAAAAGTTTCAAGATCCCGCCTATTACGTCACAGAAAATTATATGAAAATTTAACCCTTATCGATAGGCAACCCAACATACACCTCTGTATCAATTACTTACCTTATAATTATAAAAAGGCAAATTTGTATNAATTATGTGCTTGTCTTTATAATTATTAACAATTAAATTAAAATACTCTTTAAAACTAATATCCTGAATAACATATAAACTAAGTAAAACTGGCATCGTTGGCAGCATCATTGCAAACAGCTGTTTAACAAATGTTTTAACCTCGCCAACGTCGCAAATTCTCGTTCAAGAAACAAATATTTGTGTAAAGTCATAGATTTTTTTAATGTATTTGAAAATAGTGCTGACTTTGCAAGGAAAAAATTCAGAAAATGGCAAATGGTTGTGCCCACTTGGACTACTACAAATCAACTACAGGTGTAAAGGCTTATAGAATTCTTCATGCCATTTTTGTTATGACTTCTTCAAACCATGCAAGAAAAGCAAAATTAAAAAATAGTTTTTGTCATGTGTGCAAGAAGATGGGGCCCTTTTTACATTCCTGTCTGCATTGTGTTTTTCTAGGATGTCACAAACACATTAGAGAACACACAGAAAACAAATTAAGACATTGCCTTTCCATGGATCTTTGTTATGGTCAAGTTCATTGCTCTCAGTGTAAGGATTATGTATATGACAAGGATATTGATAATATCGGATTGGAAAACAAAATATCAGCAGGTAAATTTCATATAAGAATGTTTAACTGGGCAACCCGGAACGTTCCTGAATCTGATAGAGAAATTGTTAATAAACATGGAACAAAGATAGACACTATTTCATTAGATTCAACAGTAGGCTTAAGAGGTTTATTAAATTTGGGAGCAACCTGCTTCATGAACTGCATTATTCAAGCACTTACTCATACACCATTACTCAGAGACTACTTCTTTACTGACATACATCAATGTAAAGATCTTAGTTCCTGCTTAATTTCAAGACTGTTCTATGAATTTTATAATGGAGAAAAATCACCTCTTTCTTTACATGAATTTTTATATCACATATGGACTAGAGCAGAGCATTTAGCTGGATATGTGCAACAAGATGCCCAAGAATTTCTCATTGCTACCTTGGGTGTTCTTCACCAACATTTTGAAGAATCAATGCCCCCATCAATAAACAAAGACAAAAACAAGTTAAGGTGTACTTGCATAGTAGATCAAATATTCACTGGTACTCTTCAAAGTGATGTTATGTGTCAAGAATGCAATGGCATCTCTAGAACTTATGATCCAATATCTGATTTCTCTCTAGATTTGGGCTCCATGGAAGAGCAACCTCCAACATCATTAATTGAATGTTTAGAACGCTACACCAGAGCTGAGCACCTAGGATCATCTAAAATTGAATGCTCTAATTGCAGATCCCCCCAGGTCTCTACTAAACAACTAAGTGTTAAAACTTTGCCTGTTGTTGTAACATTTCAATTCAAAAGATTCCTTCACATTAGAGAAAAGGAGAAGAAGATCAAAATCTCTTCATTTATTTCATTTCCTGAAACTTTGGATATGACACCATTTACCAGTCAAGCCAGAAGTCAAACGCCAAGTATTGTGCCTCCAGACAATAGATATTCCTTGTTTGCTGTTATTAATCACGAAGGGAATTCCGTCAACACTGGTCACTACATTTGCTTTGTGAGACAGCAACGTAATTATTGGTTTAAATGTGATGATCAGAATATAAGTAGAGCTAGTCTAGCTGATGTCCTCAATTCAGAAGCTTACTTGTTGTTTTATCATAAACATATTTTAGCTTATGATTAATTTAAGTGTTAGCATTTGTTTAAAAGTTTAATTTAGAAAATCTTCAATAACTGAGTTCACAATATATTTATAACTTGTATTTCACATGTCCTCCAAAGATTTAAAGCTAAAAAGCAGCCTTGTATTAGATCTTTTTGTATTATTATTTTAATAAACATGTTTCTGCAATTAATAAATTAAAGTTTCAAAATATGCGTCTATTTACTACTGAAAAATGAAAATTAAATCTTATTTCAATATAATAAAAACGTAATCTCAATTTTTTAATCAAAAAATTGGTTTTGTGTGAACGAATTTATCGGAAATTTATAGATAAGAATTACAAGCTGTTTACACAAATTAATTATTCATATTTACAAATATGATATTTGATTTTTACATGAAACAATCTAATAGTATCAAAAGTTGTGCCTTTTTAAAAATACCGCTAATTCTTCAAGGTTAGCATTTTCTCTGGATTCCGGAAATGACACTGACAAACATGATGGTTTGAAATAAATGACAATCAACATAAATACTTTTCATTTTTAATATGGTTTTTGTAAGTTTAACTGGTAATTTATTAAGAGTAATATAATGTTAAATGAATTATTTAATATATATTCAGTAAATATTGATAAGAAATAAAGCCTAAAAACGTCATTTGGTGGGTAACATCCGGTGAGTATATAAGCAGAATTAAACGGTGAACGTTGCTCTATTTCTTTAAGTAGTGCTGAGAAGGTGAGGTTGTGTTCCTTTGTAGGTCACACAACCCACATAAAATTGAGAATAACTCTTCAAAAAAAGAAAAAAAATATAAAAAACATTAGAAAAAACCAAAAAAATCGAAAAACGGTTCAAAAACGTAATTTTGTAAATAATTAATTGCAAAATTTAGTTTCATATGTTACAGTTCCAGAACGCATTGTCTGACATTGTGTAAGTGTGTAGCGTATCAAAAACAGCAAAATGAATCCTGGTGCACCGAATTACCCCATGGCGTCTTTGTACGTCGGTGATTTACATTCGGATATTACTGAAGCAATGCTTTTCGAAAAATTTTCAACAGCAGGCCCCGTACTTTCGATTCGTGTCTGCAGGGATATGATAACACGCCGCAGTTTGGGCTATGCATACGTTAATTTTCAACAACCTGCAGATGGTAAGTTGTTTTTGCACTTCATTTAGGTATATTTCAAAATTGAAACGTTTATAATTACAGCCGAAAGAGCGTTAGATACCATGAATTTTGATTTGATTAAGGGGCGTCCTATTCGCATTATGTGGTCACAGCGTGACCCTTCCCTACGTAAATCCGGTGTAGGAAACGTGTTTATCAAAAATTTAGATAAAAGCATTGACAACAAGGCTATGTATGACACCTTTTCTGCCTTTGGTAATATATTAAGTTGTAAAGTAGCTCAGGATGAAACTGGATTGAGTAAGGGCTATGGTTTTGTCCACTTTGAAACTGAAGAAGCTGCTAACAAATCCATTGAGAAAGTAAACGGTATGCTGTTGAATGGAAAGAAAGTATATGTTGGTAGATTCATTCCCCGTAAAGAACGTGAAAAGGAATTAGGTGAGAAAGCTAAACTCTTCACTAATGTCTACGTTAAGAACTTTGGTGAAGATATGACTGAAGATCAACTTAGAACACTGTTTGAGAAATTTGGCCACATAACCAGCTTGAAAATTATGAGAACTGATGATGGAAAATCTCGTGGCTTTGGTTTTGTTGCATTTGAAGATCCTGATTCTGCAGAAGCAGCTGTTGAAGAACTAAATGGTAAATTACAATCTCATTTTATTGATGTAAACTTAATAAATGTTGCTTTCTGTAGGAAAAGAAATTGTTGAAGGAAAGTCTATGTATGTTGGCCGGGCTCAAAAGAAAGCAGAACGACAGCAAGAGTTAAAACGTCGCTTTGAACAACTGAAAATGGAACGTATGAACCGCTACCAGGGAGTCAATTTATATGTAAAGAACTTGGATGATACCATCGACGATGAGCGTCTCCGAAAGGAATTCTCACCTTTTGGAACAATTACTTCAGCTAAAGTATATAGAATTTAAATATTAATTTTTCATATTAACATTTAAATATTGTATTCTAAAGGTCATGTTAGAAGATGGACGTAGTAAAGGATTTGGGTTTGTTTGCTTCTCATCTCCAGAGGAAGCAACCAAAGCTGTAACTGAAATGAACGGCCGTATAGTAGGCTCCAAACCTCTTTATGTAGCTCTAGCGCAACGCAAAGAAGACAGGAAAGCCCATTTAACATCCCAATACATGCAACGTATGGCCAACATGCGTATGCACCAAATGAACCAATTCATCCAACCAAGTGGCACCAGCGGCTACTTCGTACCTACAATGCCACAACCACCACAACGCTATTATGCAGCATCTCAAATGACGCAGATTCGTACAACACCAAGATGGCCTGCTCAACCTCAGGTACGTCCTGGTGCTCAAACTGGAACCAACGCCTATGCTGCAGGATTGCAGAACTCCTATAGAGCCGCACCAAGGCCACCAAATCAAGCCGGAGCTATGCGAGGTAACGTCAGCGTTCCTAGACCTATCACTGGACAACAACCTCCCAGTATGCAAGGTAGGGGCTGGGCAGTTGCTAGATGGAGAAGTATAATTTTTTTTGGAAAATATCTGGTGTCAAATTTTAAACACAATTTCAAATGGGCTCTCTTCATTTGATTTTCTCTAAAAATTTTTAATTTTTCTTGTCTATTTATACAAATTTTTGCATGAGATAATAGAGAGAATGTTTTAGTTTCAATATTGTGGGGCGATTAATGTTAAACTAACTATACATTTTGTTCATTTTTCTTTTGTTACCTATACCCTCACTTCTATTAAAAAGTATTTTCCAATACATTTAATACTTGTAAAAGAAAATTACTAAATATTCTGCACTTACCACATTGTCGCGACTTTAAAAAAAAGAAAATAGTAATTTGGTTGTCTTGGTATCTTTATCTTCTTACATTTTTTTCTGTATCATTCACGTTATGCACTTGTCAGTAGAAGCTGAAAATTTTAAATTAAATTCTATTTTTTCATTTGTGTGATAGCAATGCATTGGTTGTATTATTTGTATCAAAAGAATGCAAGATTATAGTTATATGGATATCTACTTAGTGATAAATAGGTATTGTGAATGGTATATTTGGCTATCACATGGTAAAAGTGTTTTGTATAAAGTGTGTGATGAGGTGTGGATCTTGGTAAATTTGCTATTAATTTCGCTCGAAAATGTCTGTTTTGTTTAAATCTGTTAATGGTATAAGAAAGTATAAACTAATCATGTTTTGCCGCATGATGTCGAAACATGAAGGGTGCTCCAAGAAAAATTGTTGCTCATGCAAAATTGGTATTGTTTCCATTTTTATTCAATTTAAATATTTGTTTTTTAAATTTGCCTTCCCTACCTTGTTTTTTAATGTTTTAGTTTTTTAGGGCATATTGTTTTATTTTTTGCTGTCTTGTCTCGTTTTTTAGTTAATAGTATTTTTCTTTTTAAGGGAGTTTTTCGAGAAGCAATAATTATTGATGCTCCTGTTAATTTGTGACATGCAAAATATTAATTTTAGGTCGTCCTCTTGCCACACAAGGGGTTGTTGCAGGAAGTAATCGTTCCACAAACTATAAGTACACCGCAAACATGCGCAATCCACCCCAAGGCCTTACAATTAGCGGGGCCGCCCCTGTTCAGCAAGCGGTACATATTCAAGGCCAAGAACCACTTACAGCCACAATGTTGGCTGCAGCACCACCTCAAGAACAAAAGCAGATGCTTGGTGAACGGCTTTTCCCACTTATCCAAAGAATGTATCCAGATTTGGCTGGAAAAATCACTGGAATGTTGTTGGAGATTGACAATTCTGAATTGCTGCACATGTTGGAACATAATGAGTCTCTCAAGGCTAAAGTTGAAGAAGCTGTTGCAGTATTACAGGCTCACCAGGCTAAGCAGGCTGCTTCTCAAATCAAAAAAGAGTAATCGTTTCTTCAACTTTTATCATTTTTAGGGGAAGAAGCATTTATATAGTTATTTGCGTTTGCTATTCCCTTCTTGTAGTTGTATTTCTCTTATCTTTTGATAGCTTTGAAATTATTGAAAAAAATCTACACACTTACACGTTAAAAATAATAAAAAAAATTGCAAAATGAAAAAATTTGTCAGCTGTTTGACGTGCGATTAATTACCTTACTTGTAATGCACACGGCAAACAGTAGAAAAAAAACTCAAACGAGTAACAACACTTGAATAATAATTCTTTTTTCAAATCTTTCAATTCTAGTTTTGCAGTTTCTATATTATTTCTACATCTAAATATTCGATTATGACTAAACATTTTCTTTGAGTTAATTTTCAATTAGTTTAAATTTAATAAATCATTTCTTTGGGTTAATAAAATATGGAATGGTTTAAATACTCTTTTATTTCTTTTAAATCATAAATAGTTACGTTATATCTTAATTATTTCTCTGATTAGAATTATTTTTTCGTTTTAATAATATATAGTGGAAAATTCATGCGAGTTTTATTTTAAATACAAGAAAAGATAATGCAATTATATTAATTTATTGTTTTAAGTACCCAAGGTACAAATTGTAAAAATATCAGTTCTTAATTAACAAACAACAAATCGGAAATTATAAATTGATATAAAAAATATAACTATACGACAAACAGATAACAATTTTATGCAGTTACTTTCTGAGCTTTATCAATGCTTTTAACAGCCTTCTGGGCAGCGTCGTCAAGATCGTCAGCAGACTGTATAGCAAGGCCACACTCTTTTATTATCTTCTTTGCTTCATTTACGTTTGTACCTTCCAAGCGAACAATTAACGGAATATCGAAATTAATTGATTTTGAAGCTCCAACAATACCATTAGCTATAGTTGCGCAGTTAACGATACCCCCGAATATATTCACAAGGATTGACTTTACATTTTCATCTGAAGTTAATATTTTAAATGCAGCTTTGACTTGGTCTTCTTTAACTGATCCTCCCACGTCTAAAAAATTAGCTGGATCGCCCCCATACAATTTTATAATGTCCATAGTAGCCATTGCTAAACCTGCACCATTCACCAAACACCTATCAAGAAATAAATACCATAAATTAGAAATCATTACAGATTAAAAAGTTACATTGCAAGTGTACAAAATGATCTTACCCTATATTTCCAGTCATTCCAATGTAGTTTAAGTTGTATTTTGCTGCTTCAACTTCCCTAGGGTCATCTTCAGAAGTATCATGCATTGCAAATATTTCTTTTTGTCTATATGCAGCATTATCATCAAAGTTCATTTTGGCATCTACAGAAATTACTTCTCCCTCTTCTGTCTCTACAAACGGATTTATTTCCACTTGGATAGCATCTACTTTCAGGAAAAGTTCCCAAATTTTTTTCAGTTGATCTGCTGCTTTTTCTTGTAAATTTCCTTTAAATTCTAAAAATTGAGCGACTTCTTTGGCAGTGGAATCTGTGAGACCTTTAAGAAAACATGTTTTACTATTGAGAAAATTAATTTTAAACTAGGTACCTTCATAGATATCAATTGGAACTTTTTTGATAAGGTGTGGTGTTTTCTCTGCAACAGCTTCAATATCTACTCCCCCAGCTGGTGAAGCAATAAGTACAGGACCATTACTCATTCGGTCCATTAAAATACAAACATACGTCTCTCTCTTTATATTCACACTTCTTGCAACCATGACTTTCCTTACTAATATACCATCTTGTGGAGTTTGTTTTGTAATTAATTTATGGCCTAACATTTGCCTGGCTATCTCTTGGATCTTATTACGACTACAAAATGTCACGTTTAGTTTGAATTTTCTAATTAAACCATATCTTACTCAGTAGTTAAATGTACTCCTCCTTTGAAACCTGAATCAAAATGTCCTTTTCCTCTACCTCCAGCCAATATTTGTGCTTTGATAACATACTCTTTGGCGTCTTAAAACAAATAGTGAAATAATTATTCAAATTATTGGTGGAACACTCAATACTTACTAAAATTATCAAGTTGGTTTGTCCCCGAATCATCCACCATACAGAAATCCTGAATTGCAACACCATGCTTTTTCAATAATGATTTGCTCTGATACTCTAAGAGGTTAATATATCTAACTGGTACCTAAAATAATAAGGACCGGGGGGGCCTTACTACTCAACTTTCAAATAAACAACTTATAGTTTCATATCACTTTTTCTATAAATACCTTAAGTATTGAAGTTCTAAGAGGTAGTTTTCGTACAGAATTCCACATGGAAGACATAATTTAATTTGGATGGACACTTTAAACAAATTAAACAGTATATCTCAAATTTAACAAGAAATGGAAAAGATCATAGGTTATAGGTCATAGTCAAATTATGAATAAATGCTTATTAAAAATGCCACAGGGAGTAAAATCTACATCAACGTAATACACCACAAAATAGAAAAATAAATTATAATAATAACCATATAGCAACACGGGTACTTATTATATATTATCTTTTTAAATAAACTTGATTAACTAAATTTTTAAATTAAATTAAAACGAGTAGGCAACCCAACATACATCCACTATGTGCAGGTTTACTACTCCTTTATTTTTAGATTTTAAAACATATTGGCGGCAATTAAGTACAAATTATTTTTGTTAATAAGATTTATTAAAATAAAACAATACAAGCCTGCAAGATGTTAGAAAATTTTTTTATTTATATCTGAAGTATACGTCATTTTTAACAAAATTAATAAATAAATATAACAATATGTATAATAATAAGAGAAAGGAATTCACTGAAATCACAGGTTTAAGCAAATTGACTAGCAAAAGATCTGCTAAAGAAAAATTCAGGAAATCCCCTACACCGAAATAATTTCGATTAAATAATTCAGTAAAGTGCAGTACCATTTCTATTGGGCGCGACTTCCTTTTGTCATATAAATATACCTCCTTGGACGTGGTACACTAGAATGACGGATTCTTGGTTTCCTATGATACTCCCCATAAGGTCGATTCATCCCATATGCATAGGGGACATTACTCCCATTATCTCCTCTTCCTTGCTGCATGTTATTCCCCGTGTAAGCCACACCTCTGGTTTGGAATTCCAAAGTTTCTTTATTCCACTGTACATTACTTTCGATCGTCCGCTATAAATTTGATTACTTTAGGACAAGAATATACATAATTTTGAATAGAAATCCTCACCCAGTATTCTTTAGGAATGTATTGGGCAGTCATTACATTGGCTAGCTGCACTTCTCTCAGTAAAAGCCTGTTGCTATCAATTAAAGCTTCTTCGTCGCGTTGATACTCATGCTCTTTAATAGCATACTCTTCTTTTATAGCTGACAACTGTTCCTGACATTTTAAAATCTTTTTAGTAAGTTCAGTATCTTCTTCTTGAAGGGTGTTATACTTTTCTTCAACGTCTATCCTTTCAGCCTAAAAGAAAACTTTTTTTAGTACTTTTAAAAAGACGTTCAGGAAATATATAATTACCCCCTTCTTTTCTAACTCTTCTTGTAGATGTTTATGAGACTTATCAAGATTCTTCAGCTCGGCATCTGAAGATTCCAGAAGAAACTGCTGCCTCTTAGCTTTCTCAATCAAATTTTCTCCTCCAACTAGAATTAATTTCTGAATACTAGATATACGAGAAAGTAAATCGTTCTTTTGCTCTCTGTAAACGAATTTAATAATCAATTCATACAAATTTAATTAGTGTAAAACCATACTCTGTAGATTTTAATTCTTCCTCCTGTCGTTTAACTTCCTCGTCAATTTCAGGAGTAGAAATCTTCTGCTTACTGCATTTGACTCGCTTCTAAAATGAAATAATTAACATTGAATTACTTAAAGCTACTGTGGTTCTTAGGTATTCATTGATGTTAACGTCTTTTTAGGCTGTTCTGCACTTCAAGAAAAGCAAAATAATTTCTTGAAGTTCAGCTCAGAAAAAAAGTTAACTACTAAAAATCACCATGTTGTGATTAGAATTGATCATCTCAATTTCTTCTTTTTCGTGGGCACTAACTAGAGCTAACTCCATTTCGAGTTTTTGAAGTTCAGCCTCAAACTGGGCAATTAAACCAGTAGATGAAGTTCTATTAATAACAGCCCTATTTTTAATCAATTTACAACGTGCTGCGTATCGGAGCGTAGAATGTGTTTCTTCAAAGTCCATAGAAGCAGGGCTAACTGTAGCAATCTAAAATTATAAAACAATTAATTATATTTTATATTTTCGTTATGAATAGTTGTAACACACAATTGTAGTTTTAGAGTTGCCTCCTAAGGAATTTTGAAGAAGCCTAGTGAGTTTAGAACTTCGATAGGGAACATGACCTCCCTTTCCTTCTGCCAATGTTGCAATAACATTACTTAGGACTGATAGACTTTGATTTATGTTGGTTGCTTCTTTTAATCCATCTCCAGTTGCTTGAGTCCTGATTAATCTTTCTGAACCCTACGATAAATACAATTATTTGTAAATAAATGTAGAAAATTGTATTAGTTTTCTCATACAGCTAAGTCAACAAGATTCAATTTTCCCAGCACCATTGTGTTGTCTCCTTGACATCTTTGCTCAATATTAATCATAAATATAGCATGGGACCTAGAACTTCTGTCATTCATTAATGTAGCCCTGGTTTTTCTGTTGGCATTGCCTCTTCTCATCAATTCTGTAATTGATTCAACAGAATCAACTGCTAAGCAGATGGCATCCTTTACATAAACAGCACCATCTTCATTCTCATACATTTTTAATTTCTTATCGTTTTTTCCAGCTAAAAGGTCTTTAACTTCTTCATTATAAATTTCCAAATAAGAAACAGATATAGCAAATATTATGTCTTCAGTTGTAGATGATATTTTTGAAAAAATATGATTGAATGTGTTTGGAATTATTCCTTGCATGCTGGGATCATCATCACCACTCATTGTAAAGGTTTTCCCTGTCCCTGTCTGACCATATGCAATTAATGTGCCATTATATCCTTCAAGAACCTTATCAACTATTGGTTTAGCCACATTACGATAAACATCCATCTGTATTAATAAACAAGTTAACAACTGCTTTGAGGATAACATACAATGATTTACCTGTGAAGATGTTTCAGGGAAAATATAATCAAAACTGAATGTAAACGTTCTTGGCTTATTATTAGTTGATTCTCCAGGTTTTGTAATAGACAACATTCTATTTTCAATGTCAACAGAAACAATGTTTGGACAATTCGTTTCAACTTCTTTTGAACTTAAGGGGCGAACTCTTGTAACAACACAAATATTTTCCTCAACAGACTCTTTTCCACGTAATTCCATTTCTTTCTTCATTATGTGTTTCTTTTCTCCCATAACTAAATATATGAGGTCAAGTTAAAATACAATACTGTTGAAATTCTAAACACTTACAAAATGTAATGTAAATAGTTTTTTCGAACGTTCTTCTTGTAAAATTGGTATATTTGTAAAATTCAATAAATATTCATCAATAAATAGATGCACAATATACAACAACACAAGTTTCCACTTATGTCAAACCCTATTATCTATGGTCATACCAGCCAATCAAATAAGTTGTTAAATAAACTATATACAGGGTGTGTAAAAAAAAGAAGCCAAGAGAACCATTTGAATTTCTTTTTAATTTTGTATGTGTATTATTTATTTCTTGGATTTATTAATCGCATTAATTAAGATCTTATTTATGTTAATAAATAAGATACAGTGTAAAATAGGTACTAACATTCTTCTTATATTATGAAAAAGAAAACGCCAAATTAAATTAAAATTTGTTTAATTTTATTTATTTTACATTTTCAAGAGAATGAATATTAAAAACTGTTTTTCTTTTAGCCATCTTTGTCTCCATACAAATAAAAACTACAATTACTTCTTTTGCTTGTGACAAACGGTACTACAGAAGTTTACAAAAGTATGCAAAATAAAAACAAATTTATAAATTATTAATTAATTGTTTCTACTTAAACAGTATACAACAGGTGTAAAAAAAATTAAATGTACTTATTATTCGCATTATACAAAATTTTGATAAAATAAAATGTAGGAATTTAAACTGCAACTTGCAATACACATAAGAATAAATGCAGTATAAATGACCTAATAAAATTAATTAAAATTACCAACATAATGACATTTTTGAGATAATATAAGGTACAAAGTGTAATTTGTATGATTGCCACAATCAAGTCATATACTACAATAATTAAAATATTTTTTTCTGACAAATTATATAAAATTGAATAAGATCTGCAGCATTCATTAATTTTAATTAACTAATTGAAAGCTATCAACACATATTATGCTAATTTTCCATCTTCATCTTTGGTATTAAATTAAATAAAAAAGCATTCAGTAAAATTACATATGAAATGTTTCCAGATTTCAATTGCATTATTCTGAAAATCATTATTTTAGACAGAATCTTTAAAAACATTGATACGTTTTAACCACTAAAATATCTACAATTAAGTTCCTTCTCTTCTGAATCAAAGCTCTACCATTTATCGTTAGTACAATTACCTTACTTACAGACAAAAAATTGAACGACTTGAACAGTCACAATAATTCATGTATAAATTCAATTATACGACTGATTGAAGACGACGAATCAGTAATAAATTGTTTGGCCCAACAAGAAAAAAATTAATATCATATTGTATCACACATCTAAAAAATCTTTTAAAAGGGTAGTCCTCCTTTTTTCCGCTATATCCATTTGATTTTCTAGGTCTCCTCTATCGGTCGTTTCGGCGCGTTCTATTTTCCACGATAAATTTTCTATTTCGGCTTCTAATTGAGCTTGTTGATATTCAAAAAGTTCTTTTCGTGGCCCTGTATCCATATAATAAGCGTATGGGTAGGTGTATTGTAAAGTATATCTACACTTAGCCAGCAAAGACGCTGCTGTGAAAAGATATTGCCAATCTATCCATGTGCCCCTTCCAGACATCACCTTTTGGTTTATGCGAGTTTTCAATTTGTCAAAAGTTTCCTTTTCTAACTTCAACGACTTTAGATGATTCTCCCATCTTTCATAATAGTGAAGATACTTCTTTAAGGCTTCCCGTGCCTATAATGTTTTTATATTCTGTTATAAATAACATTATAATGGTGAACTCAATTTTACAAATACAAAATCAGTAATAATATAAAATGTTTAAAATCCAAGACAAGAAAAGTCTAGAGTTCTTAATTTTCTTTGAAAATTTTTTAAACTACTATTTTTAATGTACAATTGAAATAGTTACCTGAGCATGGACAGACTCATGAGCTATATTAGGATTTTCTTTGTAGCGTGAACATTCATAGTATTCTGATCCATGTGCCTTCCAATCACCTAAACACATCCAGCAGAAGTCGTACTTGCAATTATAGCACTGCATATGATTGCAACCCCCATTTTTCTCAATGCATATGTGACATTTGGGGCAGTCTTTGGTATGAGCACTAATGTAATTAGCTGTTTCACTATCATCTGCACACTTTGTTAACCACTTTTGAATTGTATGACAATCTGTAGGTGCATGATAATCTATACCACATCTTTAAAACAAATGTTACAAGTGTTAAACTAAAATCCTTGCATGTGAAGTGTGGATAACTTACTTAAAACAAAAAATTGATTTGCATTTTGAACAAGTAGCTCTTTTTGCCTTTGTATCTTGACTTTTAATGACAACCTGACAGTTTGGTCCTGGACAAAATCTTAACTGTGGATGAGACTTAACATAATCTTGAAATATGTACTGTAAATATTTTTCCTTGATATTTGGTTGCAGAACAAGTTTTAATACAAAGTCCTCTGGTACTAACACTTCACATTCTCTAGCCATGCAACTAATTCCTGTGGATATCCCCTAAAATAAATTCTCACATAATATTAATCATTGTTAGCATGTATAAGCAAAAAAATCAACTACCTGATTTATTTGAACTTCAAAATGAATAGTCCAACAGCCTTTACAAAATAAATGACCACAATTTAAACTAAGAAATTTATCACTTGAATGAGTTAAGACACACACAGGGCACGTAAGGTATCGCGAGCAGTTATTGGAAGCTGGTGCTGATGATGGTTTTACTCGAGAGTTGATAAGTAGCTGAGATGCATTCTCCCTATATTTCCCTATTATTTCTGATACATTCCAATTGTGATAATGCAACAACACCTACAATTAAGTATAATAATTAAATAATAAATAATCTGTAAAAGAAAGTACCTTTGCAAGAGAAGGCAGTATCTGAAGGTTATTACTCAAAAGTTCAACAGATTCGTTTAACAGTCTCTCTACTTGCTCTTCTGTTAAGCACTCAAATTCAAAATATTCTGGATCGTTTTTGCTTGGATCCACTTGTTCAATATCAATATCATCGGTGTTATAGTAATCAGAGTCGTCACCAAAGCATTCGTTGTCAGAGCATTCCATATCTGAATCTACATCCCCTTCAGTGTTCATTATTGCACAAGTAATTGATAAGTTAGCAATCTCTTAGATATCATTAACTTATACACACAACGTACTAATTACTTCACAAATAATAAACATCACCTGCAAAAATTATCCATATATTTTATTAAATGAAGAATTCCTACCGTAACCCCACGTCAGTTTACATACATGTATAATTAAAACTGTCACTGTCATGATGACGGCGACATAACCAATATTTTTTCGTGTTTAAATGATCACTAACCGTGGAAATACTTAATGGGGTCATGTTTTAAATATTTTATAAGCATTTGGATATATTTCTTTATTTTATTTTTAAAAGATTTTAAATTGTTATTTAAAGTTTTACAATGTTTTACTTAATTTATAAACCGATACCCTCACTTTTTTGTCGACTGCTCCTAACTGTATGCAACCAATCAAACAAATTAGTAATTTGTTTACACCCAATTAAATTTGTTTAGGATTTTTGAATTACCATTAATTTTCTTGTTTGATACTGCATTTGTGTAATTACAAGTAAATATATTACAGAATAAGTATTGAAAATGACGGAATCTACATTTATACTTTTAAGGCACATGTAATGCACAAGTTATTTAAATATGCTGCTGTTTTTATTACTTATTTTCTTACAAAGCAGTATTTGCGTTGAAAAAGGTGATTTAGTGGGTTGTTTTAAGCCTGGTGTTGAGTACTTCATAATAAAAGAATCTCGTGGTTTATTGGAATGTCTAAGTGTATGTGTAGAAAACAATAATTACAGGTAATAGTGCTTACACATAAAATTAAATTAATTGAGACAAGTAACGAACATATAATAAATACGTTGTATTTAATATTCAATTCTAGGTATGCTGTTTTAAATAATGTAACTAGCAAATGTGGCTGCACAAATTTTCTTGGAAAAAATTATTCTCAAATTCCATGTGATGAGAGTTGCCATGATTGTAACATATATTATGCAGGAAATTTTGCACCAACTATGCCAGAAAACTTAGCTGTTGAAAATGTGACTAATACATCAGCTTATATTTTATGGGAAAAGCCCAAGTTCTTTCTAGATATCCGGAACTACCAAGTAAAAGCTAATGTTATAAAAACCTATGCAAATTATATTGGTAATCCTCAATGGTGGACATTTACAAACAATACCTATGATGCTGAGTTAGGTAGTTTAAATCCAGGTACCAAATACAATATTTTGGTCCAAGCCTTATCATCATATTCTGATGGAGAAGTTGCTTCTATTATATTACAAACAGAAATAGGAGATCCTGATAACATTCCCTTTCTCCCAACTGTAATAAAACGTGAGGGATCAAAGATTACAGTTAAATTAAACCCTGTAATGAATAATAATGGTCCTGTAACTTCATATCAAGTAGTTGTTATAGATCAGGACAGTAAACTATTTTTTCAACCTGAATCACTGAAATCATTTCAAGAAAGTAAAGAAGATGAATTAGGGTATTATATTGCAGCTGAATTGCAGCCTAAACAAGTCCTTGAAGATTTTGTAGTAGGTGATGGAAAAACTTATGGGGGCTTTTATAATGCTCCACTGAATCCAAATTCAAATTATCTAATAATTGAGGGAATGGTTAGCAGTGCTGGAAATATTACCAAAGTGGTGTATAGTGATATCAGCACACATGTTTATAAAAGAGATAAAACTAATTTGAATTCAAACTCATCTGTTCTTGTCACTGCCTTAACTATTTGTGTGGTAATTGTAAGTGGTATTCTTGCAGTCATAGTAATTTTTTACATTTATTTGAGACAAAAAGCATTTAAAAGAAGACTCAGGAGACTTCGTGATAATCAAGAATTAGCTATGCAGGGACCCATACTTGAAGTAGTAAGCAGCAGTTAATTTTTTATTGTAGGCTTTTTTGTACATTATAATTGTGTTATCTTAAAGGTAAATGAAGGCTATATTCCTGAAGAAGAAGTGCAGCCAATAGATCATTATAATGTACTTAAGCAAAAAGTTTGGAGAATTCCTCAGAACCTTCTAAAAGTTGATAATAAAACACTAGTTGGTGTTGGAGAGTTTGGGTCTGTACATTCAGGAATGATTAAAAAGGAAGACGACATTCCAGTTGTAGTTGTTGTAATTTATGACAAAAAGCTGTCTAGTATTAATAAAAAGAACATGCTGAGAGATCTGGACTTACTTATTAAAACTGACAAACACAAAAACGTTCTTGAACTTATAGGACTCTGTGAAACCATGGATATTTTATTTGTAGTATTAGAGGCAGCCTCAGTGAATCTCAAAGACTTACTTCTAGGCAGTAGAGATACATCTGGTGGAAGATTTAGCAGTATTACCGAAAATCAAGCTGTATCTTTTATGATTGACATTGCAAAAGGAATTCAGCATTTAGAAAAACAAAAAGTTGTATTGCTTCTTCATCACCCTGTTGACAATAATACTAATTTTTCCTTTCATAGGTCCTTCACAAACGTTTGTGTGCGAGAAATATTTTGGTAAACGCAAATAACGTGGCCAAAGTTAGTGGCTACGGTTTATGTCATTATACTCACCAGAATATAATGCCAGATTATACCAGATGGACTGCTGTGGAAATATTCAGTAACTTTCCCCACACTCATAAAAGTAACGCGTGGTCTTTCGCCTGTATAATGTGGGAAATATCAGCTCTAGGTAATTTCTTCACAAGTCTCAAGTTAGGATTTTATTGTTGGTATTTCAGGGGGTACACCGTATGGTTCTATTCCAAATAATGAAATACCTGGCCAGATTAAAAGAGGCCTTCGTTTGGTACAACTTCCCTATATTTCTGAAGAATTGTATCAGCAAATGTTTGATTGTTGGCAAGTGGAGCCCGGGGAACGTCCCGATTCCTCTGCAATTTTGCAAATGCTAACTCACTGCCAAGTAAACTCTTTACCGCTACTAAATTTCGAATTATATCCAGGATTCCAGTATGAACAATTCTATATGGACTCCGAATTAGTAGCGAGGACCGTACCGATTTTGTAATTTTTTGTACTTTTATCTTTTGTATTTTTTTACAATGACATATATTTTATACCAGAATGAAATTGTTTTTTGTTAATACATAGTTTTCTGCGCCCATAGTCATATTTTATATATAAGACTTCACATATTTTTTAAGGTAGTCTTTCTTCACTGATTTCACTTATGATTATACATTAAACTGAAACACTTGTACGAAATACTTGGAACAGACACTAAACCTAGATGAGAGTAAAAATGAAAATATTAATGTATGTTTTATTTGCCTAAATATTTACAACATACATGGTTTAAAAAATAATAATGAAATGCATTGAACCTATTATGAATATCGAGATTTTTTTATCCGAAATGACAGGTACATTTTATAAAAACAAAAAAAAATAGTTATCGGAAGAATCTACTCGTAATTTGTTAATCTGATAATTAAATTTTCTTTCGTTTCTTCCTAGGAGAATCAATAACTTATCTACAGGATGGATACTGATTAAGTAATTAAGGCAATGATTTACAATTTTAAAACTGCCTAAAGTAAGTACAAACAGTTTATTCAAACGAATTGTGCATTTTAGAACAAAATAAATAATTATGCAAAACAAGAACGGCAAATAGATTGAATATAAAAAGGCAGCAACCAATATTAATTAGTCTAATAAATAAATTCTTATAAAAATTGTCTTGATATTAAATGTATGTTAAGTTTGCTTTTATTTTGTGATATGATTTAACTTTGATGTTTTGAAGCAAATAATGATTTAATGAATAATGTGGTACCTGTCTAAAAATTCCAGCATCTTTCCTTAAATGTAAGAAATTTAAACTGAACAAAATAAAACCTATCTATTGCTAACAAAAGTTTTTTTTTTTCGATATTCTTACTATAGATCATTTATCGAGAGTCGACAATCAATTAATTTTAATGAAATCACCTAAAAATATTGCTATCACAGTGTATTTTGGTTTTGGATTAAAAACTCTTTTCAAATATGGAAGGCAGTTCATTTTCTATTTTATTTTTGGATAAGCACTGGTGTCGAGAACGTGTCACTTCTAGCTAAAATGATCTTTAGTAATTTTCGAGAGAGCTATTAAAAGTTTTGATGGTTGTCAAATAGTACAGTTGATTAAAAAAATGGTACAATACTAACACAAGTCAGACATTGATGGGCAACTGTGACAGAATTATTAATGTTGATTAAGAATTACCTTTGAACAACACAGTGTAGTATAACTCTCATCAATACTGATTGTAAATTAAACATCACAGAAGAAAATAAAATAGATAAAACATAAACTCATCCAAAGGTTTCCAATGCTATGAATATTGACTATTTGTTCGTTCAACTCTTTAAAAAACTTAAATATGCCAGCGATAATACTTAACCACTTTAATAACGATATACTTATGATGGCAAATTTATTTAAGAAACAAAATTAACAAAAATCGTATTTTACTTCGTCTGAAGGTAATCAATCAGAAAAAATTTATACAACACAGTCAAGAGCACCACCATAAATATTAATACATAACACCATTCATAGGTTGTTTAAAAATCCGTATTACTGCAATTATGTATGTAAGAAGTTAATTAAAATACAAACGTGTTTAAAAATGATTTACAGAAAACAGAATTGTATGCTTACATATATATATAAATATATATAGCATATACTTATAAAACGTTTGAATGAGCCTATATTTTGCAATTTTGTGGTCAATAATAAATTCTTTTTCCAATCCTGCAGTTCTAACATAAATATACAGTAATCTTTTCAATTTCAAATAAATATTTATATAACAGTGGAAAACTATTTTTCCAAATGAAATAGTAGGCAGAACAAAAAGTATCGAATCAAAATAAGATAGTAAACGCAACGAAGTGTTAATTACTTATATGACATATTGTAAATAGAAAGAAATAGTTAACAATATATTTCCCTTGTTTAAGGTAACTGTATCATGTGTTGTGTCGAATTAATAAAGATTTTATTTAAATCTGCCACTATTTCAGATCTATGTAAGTAGTAAATTATGAAATTCACACAAACTACGATTTCATATTTACACAAAATTCAACTTATAAAAAGATTAAACTATATTACACAAGTGTCTATTCACTTTTAACACAAATGCCACTTTTTTCAATGTCCATACCTCTTTCCTTCTTTAACTAATACTATAAATAACGTCAGTTTTGTATTGGAAAAAAGCATGTGGCACATAGGAACATCTTTAAACTGTTTAGTTGTTTCTCTCAATTTTTTTTTTCTTTCTTTCTTGTAACTTCCGGAAACACTGTGCCTGAATTCCAGACATAATAAAAAGTCCACACTAAGTGTAACTGTGGAACAAACTATAATAGTCCCACATATTTAGCCACTCCTAGCTAGTGCGCTGTCTCTTCGCAGCAAGTTCCGAATTAACCAGACCACCGAGCATATACTTCAATTGTGGCATGTACTCTAACACATGTCGCACTTGTACTAAAGGTATTACTTCATCTATACTTCTACACTTCCCGTTTTCCAACAAGAGCCGCATTTGAGCACTGAAAATAAAATCACTTCCAGTATACCTATCCCTGCTAGTTATTTTACAGTTAACAACAAATACATTATAAAAGAATCTGTTGATAAGTTTTATAAAGCACTTTATGCAAAAAGCGTCTTTCTAAAGAATCTAATGATACTTTTGGTCTACTTTTTAAATAATTAAATTAATATGTAATAATAATGACTATAGCAATTTACCTGTTGCCTTTATAGACTTCGATCCCCAAAACCTGCATGACTTGTTGACATGACTGTACAGGAACGCTGTTAAACAACTGTTCAATGAGATCTGGAATAGTCACCAAAAGATCGGAGTATGAATATGGTTTCATGTTGAAACAGGGGACCATGCGGTTTTCGATTAACGCCTTTTGAAGTTTATATGGAATGTGATTGCCACTAATAATTGGTGTTTCCGGTATTGCTATCAACTTCCTGTGCATATTGTTTACAGGCATGCGACCGTTCGTCATACCAGTACAGTCATCTTGCGTCGCCGGCTGACCCCTTGGTGGTTGCTGATGTGCGGGTTGTTGGTTAATTATCGGATGACCGGTGGTACTAAATTTGAAAACATGAACCAATTTAAAATTCACGCAAACATACAAAGAAAATATTCTTAAATTTACCAAAAATTGATTAGAATTTTAAACTCTTTCTTAACACAACTGCAATGGTACTCGTCGCATCAAGTTAGATTATATTAGCTCTAATTAAGTTAAGTTTCAGGACATAACATGACACTTGAATAAATAAAACAATACCTATTTGCGGAGCTTAGATCGACTACATCAGTACCTCCATAGTGGTTAGGGGTATCATAACGCATGCCACCGTTTAAATGACGTACAGGAATTAACGGAGGAGGGTGGAATTTTGGCATCTGTGGATTGGACTGTCGATAGCCAGACTGAGACAACACGGGATCACCCAACATCATATAATTAGCAACTGTAGTTTGAGTGTTGCTGTACGCTGTCGTTGCCCTAAATAAAAAATTTTCATCAATAATGCATTTACATGGTTTTTAAATATGAGAATATTTATTAATCATGCTGATATAGATACAATGTTTATTATATTTTGCTGATTTATTTATTAGCAAAATACGATAAAACTGATTTTATCACTGCAGACCATTTTTAATTGGTAGGTACTAAATATCAATTAAATAACAACTCTTTTTTTCTTTAAACACATATGAAGTTGGTGAGTCTGTCTGTAATAACAACTAGTCGTTAAATTGTATATTACTGATGGTATGGTCTACAAGATAAAATAACGCATAATTAATCGAAGAAGACGCCATGCAATCTACAAACATAACTATTTACTGCTCTTAAATTGACTCACCAATCTTCCTTCCCATATGACTGAAATCTGTTTGAAAATCATCAAAATTTAATTGAAAGTATAAAATTCAAAACAATTATTTAATTTGAAATTTTGTTATGAAGCTATAATTTTAACTGAATTTATTCCTCTCGTTTTTTCCTTAATAACTATTGTTATTCTATATCATATATTCATTTATTAAATTAAAACGAATCGTCTGATTATTTCTTAAATAACTAGTTAATAGATAATTTTAAAATAGTCAATCAAATAATTCATGATTTGGCAGATTAGGTATAGTGTGATGTTTTTAATTCCTAAAAATACATTTATATTAGAGTCAAAAAGGGCAAAATCAAAGTAATTTGTTAAATGTTTAACTTACGACTGACTAGCTCTAATAAGAGGAGGTGGTGGAGCCTGGGCCATGTTAGTATAATAGGATGGACGTGGTTGTCTCGATGCCGCTGCTGGATAGGTAGTTCTTACAGCTGAAGTAGCAGTCCTGGGTTGTGGTGTTGGATATGCCGGTTGTCCTCCAGTTAAACCATAATTAGAATACATTGCCTGAACATTCTGTAACTGACTGTTGTTTGCTGCTTTAGCCTGTGTGGCTGGTTTTGGTGATGGTGAAGGCCTAGAGAGAGATGCAGGTGGAGCTGCTGGTTGCCTTGTCCATTGTCCCATTTGAGTTTGCGTTTTACCGTTAATTAGTAACTGAGAATCAACCACTTTACTTGGCCAATAGTCTTCAAATAATGTACCCGGAGGAAAATAATTTTTAATGTCATTTAAGCTAATAACTGCACAAGAATCATGCGCAAAGAGTTCATTTCGGATACCTTGTACCTTACAACAAAACTTTAGATATGATAAATCCCACCCCTCAAGTTTGTCAGCCTTTAGTTTGAGATTTTCCGTTTCTCCTTCAAAATAAAATAAAGGGACGTATTTTTGATTATTGTAAATTGTGTATGGTACCACAGATTCCTTATTTATACGTATAAAGCCACAACGATCTAAAGGATTAGTGCTCCCATTTAACAGCTTGGAATAACAAGCATCTAAGAAATTGTAAAACTCAACAGCATCACTTAATCTCACAATTAAATCCCGTAAAGTAAATTGTTCTCTTCCAAACTGATAATCACAGTGTTTCATATTGATCTCATTTAATAATCTACATTCGACTTCAGTAATATAATAACTGCGAATACAGGTGCAGTTATAAATATCTTGATGTAGAAAACTCAAATACTTGTTTAACACTTTCATTTCAACCATTCTCACTGCACAATATTTATCACCACTACGAGTAATATAGGGAATATGTACTTTTCCAAGGGTAGTCCATCCAAATCTTCCCCTGGCAGACTCTTCATCTCCCATTGTTCGTATACTATCTGGTGCTGTACTAGTAACAACAGAAACTTCATTTTTGGCCTTGTTATTACCATTATTATTATTATTATTGGTGTTATTCCTGGTTAAGAAATTGAGGATGTTCATATTTTGAGGGGCAGTAACTGGTGTCTGAGCAGTTCGCAGAGCTGCCTGCATTTTAGCCCTGTTTGCCTCCATGAGTTTGGTAGCCATTTCCTGAATTTCGGCTTCATCTTGGCGTTCTTGTTTTACAGAACTCATAGCGCACTCAATTGTAGGTTTAGGAATAATACTCCTTGGACCACCGTAACATCTAACTGTAGTTGCAGGAGTAATATTTAGATCCTGCTCCTCTTCTTCTGGTATGCATTTACTACATTCACTACTAGGAACTGGATGTGGACAATCTTTCAGTTGAGATATTGGAACTGCAGTACTACTATGAACAGGGCACTTAATTTTGTTTTGTATAAGATGTGAAATATTTTCAACAAGAACTGTAGGAATCTTTAGCTGAAATTCTTTACCCCTGTCTTGGACAAACTGTGTTTGTTGCGGTAATAAAACCGCGCTACTTTGACGAGGTATTTTGAAGGTTATATTAATACCAGCTCCAAAGATTACTTCAATAAATTTTGAAACTTCAGCTTGGAAGTTTAAATAATAGTGGTATATTACACGTTTTGGTCGACAGATACTATCATACCAATAAAATAAGGCTTTTCTAGTAATTTTCGGTCCACACAATAAATTTATGTTATGTGGTCACTTAGTTTCAAGAAATGCTTTGATGACCTAAAAACTAAAACCATGAAAGATACTGACTTTTTCTTTTGAAGCTACTTGTTGTTTATAATTGATGTTACTTACAGGAATAAGTGTTTCCAAAGTTAGATGATTAATTTTTCTTGAGCTCCCACTTTTCAGAAACTTACAGGTTATCTTGAAATAGTTAAAATTTCATGCACTTTCCACCACACATCCAAAATGTTTAAATATTCAAATAACACAATCGGTGTTCTTCTGGCGGTGGTGGTAGCGATGTTAAAATTTTTCTGGTTTTGGCCAATATCAGGGAGTTAAACGTTCAACTTTAACGAATTTTCATCATAAATGAAACACTAGTAAACCTTCACATTTGCACGACATGTATGTTTCCTGAATTGATTTCGAACATTTGTAATTGTTTACAACTGTGCAATGAGGTTAAGGCGGTTATATTATTTTCCTAGTACCGATATAGCAGCCATAGCGCCATCAGAGAAAACACTTCTGTGTTATTCCCTATATGCCGGATCACAGACATTCAATATATACAAGAAAATAAATAAAACTCTTGCACTGATATCCCTCTCGTAAAATACATCACATATTTAATGCATGTGTATTGTTAAAAAACCACTAATGTATAAAACACTTCGTGTACAATGCACTTCTTCCAAGTTCGCTACAAAACTAGACTAGAAATGGTTTGCTAGCCTCTTTACGAGGTGTTGCTATTGCTGTCCAGATTTTCATACACATTAATAGTATACAAAATGGCCACTGACTTACGAAAAGAACCAATGAGCGTGTGTAATACACCGTTACCTCACTGTGACGACATAACATCAATGACGTAGTGGGACATAGGGAGAGGCTAGATAGCATTTCCAAGGTCTTAAAGTTTGCAGTATTTCAAGGATGATAATTTAACTGAATATCGTTCTTTTCTTTTTTATTTTATATAATTTGTTTTTTTAAATGTTTTACAAGACCAAGTTATTAAAAAATGCCCCTGTACTAATATAATTAAAAAAAAATTGTCAGTTACTGTAGTTCAATTTTTTAGAGCGGAAGCTCGAAAATTGATCTTATGGATATGTACCATAAGGCGAAAATCTAAAATTCTGTAAGCGATTTTCAACATTTCAGTTTTCAAGGTTACATTTTATACTTTTTGTTTATAAAACGAGTTTTATTTCAGATAAGACTTAACTGTTAATTATATGCATATTTTCTAAGCTGTTTTTAATTTCTTTTGAAAATATAGATTCTTTAGATAAAATTTATTTTTGGTTTTTAACATAAAAACATACCGTATATTGTTGCGCGTGCGCATTAATTCCATTTTTTATAATGGACTTATTTTAGAATTTAGATATTATAATAACAATAACAATATATATATAAGGAGTTATATTGCGTTTTCAATAATCTTAAAATTAATTTAATAATTTAGTATTTTTTACATACTTATATATCTTAAATCGAGTAAAACACCTATACCATTACCACTATACTATATATTATCTAAAGTATTAGGAAGTTATAAGTACTAGTAAATAGAACTTGAAAGACATGTATGTGTGAGTAATTAACATTCATCTTGCCATATTCCTCTGATGATGAGCGAATAGCCGATATCAAAACGTCGTAAATGAGTATGGCACATTTTTTCATCAAATCAATATTTTGTATAGATCAATTATTATTTTGTGCAGCTGTTTACACATGATCTGTAGCAGTAAAATTATTTTACTTTAACTTCTAATATACTGATTTTTTTCATTAATGTTATATACATCAAATGTATATATATATATATACGTAATTATATTCATACATACGTAGGTAAATATGAATACATATTAAAATTACATAGCATAACTTTGCGTGACATATTATATATATAATGTATAGGTATACTTTGCACATATATTTACATGCGTTCAAATGATTGATTTGTAAATAACTTTTCGCTGTGTATATAGGTATTGTAAAAATACCTATACGTAGTACATGTTGTATAATATGAAAATGTGCATTTCGAATTCTAGAATTAAAGTACATTTATTTCATAAATACAAGTAAAAGTACTTAATTTTATAATAGGCTTTATTTCAATTTATTTTTTTGTCGTGGTATATTTTTTTTTGGATAATTTTAAAAATTATAAATAAAACACCATCTATGATGTTATGGACAGGTTCAAATGCAGGTTATATTATTGTTGCAGATTCCTATTTGGCAAATAAAAGAATTACAAGTATAATTGATATATTTCACCATTATGATTAATTTGTTACAAAATTTGATTATTCGCAATGCTCCTTTTCAAAATTATGCGTTAAAATATACACTAGGTATATCATTATAACTAATTTGTTTCACTAGCGTCCGTTAGATGGCTACCTTACTCTTACACTCTAGGGTTCGTCTTCTGTTAATTTAAATGTCTATTGGAAACGTGTTGTTTATAGTTTTAGTTTTTAATTGCAAAGAAGCTTAACCATTATTTTATATTGTAAAGTGATATTTACTGAATATAATGTCACGTATTATACAAGAATGAATATCAGTTGGCCGTCAAGTCTGTCTTTTGGTAAGAATCCGCGCGGTATCGCATAGCCGTGGTCGTTTCCGCTCTCCGAAGATGCATGCTTATCTGTTTTAAATACATTTTTTAACTAAATCGGGATGTTGGTGTTTTATAAATTTTCAAAAAGTGTTTAATGGATTCAAGAGGATAAGAAGAATACTAAAAAGACGACAGCAGTAAGTTTTTGAAGCATTTTAAAAAATTTTAGGTTTAGTTTCTGAACGATTTTAATTTAACACCAGCAATTTTTATTGCAAAGTGGTATTTAATTAATCATTTATGAGTCTTTTCCTGTAATAATAGTTGCAATTTTATTGGAATTTCTAAAAATATTGTATCTACAAAAGTTACTTTTTGGGGGTTATATTGGCGGTTCTTTGGATCATTGTTGCATATTTTTAGTAATAAATGTTGGTACTTGTTTGATGTGTAGTGTTGTATTTGTTCAGTTTACATATAACATCAGTAAGGTGATTGTGATTTAAATAATTGTTATTGCTTTTAATAAATTTTGCAAAACATTTAAATAGTAAGTTGCGAAATACTTATTTAGTGTAATACGTATATATGCATCAAACTTTTGCCAAATGCTCGTTTGTTTCTTTTTCAATTGTTGTTAATCTGCTTCTTAACCTCTTTTCATAATTTCAAGTATTTTGTTTTTTAAAATTTAACAATCCATCCTACGTTTCTAACGGCAAATTTATTGTAATTGAACGGTCAACGTTTTCTAAAAATCACTAAAAAGAATAATTAAAAATCAATAATAACATGTATCAATTTCAATCGACTGTTAAAATATAATTTTTAAGATTTACTACCATTTGAATTTTAAAAAGAAGTATTGTTCGTAATCGTGATTTCCATTTTTAATTAGGGTTTCATTTTATTTATTTTTGTTCCAGATGCCACTTTGTCTACAGGGGGAGGTAAGTAATTTGCATGGTTTTAAAAGGACTGGCGCCTCGTTTTATACAGTTTTAGCAAGTGTAGCCCCATTTTATTTTTTATGGTAACAAAATGGCAAATCAACCATTACATGGTTGTAATAAGTACAAGATTTGAGTACTTTGTGAGAAAGTTTAAGTCTAAGATAACTAAGGCAACCAACAATACACTACGTTGAAATTTTAAGTTTAAACTAAAAATTTCGAATTGATAATCGAAATCTCTACTTTCAACTCTAAATTTACCTTAGGTTAGGTTAGGACTTGGTTGCATTAGGTTTGGTTTGACCGTGTAAACAAAAGAAACTGAACTTAATGTTTTTATTTAGCTGGTTGGGATCATAAGGTTAAAGTAGGTAAAGACAACACGAAGTAAGTGTCCTTTCTAAAAATTGCGTTAGGTTGCGTTGGGATTGGGTTAGGGTAGGTTAGGTTGCGATTGAATGGAGATTTCGAGTTACAAGTCGAAATTTCAAATAAAAATATGTTTATCCTTCCACGCTTTCGTAGTTATCGTATCGTATAAAGTGCGCCTTTCGCGTTTTCAAACGGGAGTGACGGGAGTGTTCGGGTGTATCGTATAGTACTCGCGCGTTGAGTTTATCGTATCGTAAAAGTGTGGCGCTCGGGATCCGGGAGTGTTCGGGATTTTTGGGACATCGTTGTCGTGGCGGGCTTTAGGATTTTCAACGATAAGGACTTCCAACTACAAGTATTTTTCAACGTATAGATCGTCTCAGAGGATACAAAGTAAGTTGCATGCCTTTTTAAGTAGATAGTATACTACACTTGCTAAAAAGTTTTTTTGATTTATGAAGAAGGATTGGCGGTTATGTGCTTAATTAACGCACTAAGGGAGTCATTGCGACGATCAACAAAAAGTTAAGAAAAAGGTACGAATGAGTCCAAAGAAAGAGAAAAGTTGGTCACGTTACCAAGTAAAGACGAGACTGGACTATGGACTAGCAGACATAATAACAAAAGTTTCCCTATTTATTTATTTATAATATTAATCTAATTACATACAATAAACCATTCTCTAAAACGGAATTTAATAATCATGTAATGAGTGTAATAATGCGACAATTACAGTTTTTTTTTCTGTATGAAACTAAACTGCTTTTTAATGTTTTATTCATGGAATTCAATAATAGTTCCTTTTCTTAATATAGTATTGTAGAAATGAATAATAAAACTAATAACTTTGGGAAGTTGTGAATATTGTCACCTACTTCCTTGAAAAGCCTTTTTTGACTTTTTGGCTTTATAAAACAGATATCGACCCAAAAGAATTTTATTAATAGCGCCGGCGCATTTGCTCTACCCATGTAGGTACATAGTAGAAGCTTCTTCGATTCGGGAGCATTCAAAATTCTAACAATTCAGTTGAAATTTATGGTATTTACAGGTATGTTCTTGATATTGCATGTAATATTAATACACAAAAGGATTATTGCTAGTTTCAGTATTATAATTATTATAACAAAATTTTAGTTAATTTTTCGTAATTGTGCCCGTTGAAATTAGATCGAATTAAATCTACTGAAACATTTAATTTCTGTGTTAAAAATTTGTTCATTTCTTATTTGAACTAATACACACAATAAAAACCTTAACTGTACGCATAAAATTATAATTTTCGCATGGAGTACATTTCAAGTGGTAAATTGTTTAAACAAATATTATACACTGGTATTAGTAGAGCTGAAACAATTTCTGCGTATATTTTCTAATGAATTGTATCAAATTTTGAATGAAATATCAACAGGTTTTCGAATGGAGACGGTACAGATTGGCATTAAAAATAGGCACTTTTAATCAATAATTTTGCATCCTGTTTTCTATTCGTAATAATAATAATAATAATAATAAGAACTGAAAATATTAATTAATTAATTGTTATCATTGAAGCTAAAGATGTGGGAAAAGGTAGTTCCATGGGTGGTTGGCTTACTTTTTTTAATTGAAATGCACCCTGCCACATCCCAAGAGGATTCTTTAAGGAGTGCTTTAAAAGCTGTTAACCGACTCCAAAAAGATTTATCAGATAATCGTGGCTATGAAGATTATTACTTCACAGATGATTATTATCCCACACCTTCCGGTAAGATCGATAATAATATAATATATGCGTCGGTATTATTATTATTATATTTGCATAGTAATACATGTTGGGTAATCGAGTAAAATTAAACAAATTATAATTGCGTGATTTCGACTTATAATTTATCGAGAATTTTCGTTTGGTTTCTTTCCCATGGATGTCCTACAGAGCCGGTCGACATTTTCTTATTATTAACGACTTTACAGAAGAAAAAGAGTAACAAAACTTACGATTAATTCAGGCCATGCAAAGACCAAAATTTATTGGTACAGGTGGTCCTACATGTGACCTCAATGTGCTTCATTTTTTTTATTTGTCGTAATATAAGGCTACCCGAAAAGTTTGCAGCAGATTGGCAGTAAATCAATAAATAAATTTTTGAGCAAGTCTTACTTCAAAAAGGTTTTTTGCCTTTTATTAAAACGTGAATGCAAATTTAGTAGCAATTCACTCTAAATCACTCTTCTAGAAAGAAGAAACCTTGAAAGGGAAATTTTTGGTCAACTACAAAATGGCGGTGATTTAAATAATGATATGCAAAAATGGGGTATGAAAAAAAGGTTTTCTTCGTCATTTAGGGAACGTATATTAGAAGAAAACAATGACGAAGATAATAAAAAATCTTTGTCTGACATGTTTCTAAATCAGTTGCATAGCCGTGAAAATTTAGCTGAAGATGATCCTGATTATCCTGAATTATTAAAAGAGGTTCTCGATTCTTATGGAAACCAGGAAAATTTCTATAGAAACGACCGATACGACAAGCGCTATTTTCCGTTTGATTACTATCCAAATTTGGGATACAACAATGTTGGAATGAAAAAACGCAGTCGCCCTGATACTTACATGTACGTACCAAACTACGAACCCCGTGAAGATTACGATCGTTATGTGGAAACTTTGGAAATCCCAAGTCAATACTTGGATTCTCAGCGATTCAAAGAACGCAACAATGCAGATTTGGTCAACTACCAAATGAAAAAGCGCTTCAAAGTTTCCAAGAGAAGTAGCCCAGAAAAGAAATCTACCAAAAAGGATCTTGTCAAAACAGATGCCAAAGTAGAAGAGGACTTGAGTAACATTTTCATTAAAGCCCACAAAGCCAAACTTCGCGATAGCCCAAAGAAGCCGACCAAAACAGAAAGTAGTCACATAAATCCGAAGGGCGATCCACACGTTCTATCATCAACGGAGAAAAAGACCAATGAAACTTTAAAAGGGAAACACCAACCGGATAAAAAGTTAATTAGTTCTCTCAACAAGGAAACGATTACTTTGGACTCCAAACAAACTCCGTTGCACATTGAAAAGAAATCGATCAATTGGTCCGATTATTTTGGGATCGACAAAAGGAAACCATCGAGTGATTTGGACAACGAATGGTTAATAGAAAGATATCATAAAGCAGTAGCAATGGCTTCTAAAAGAGATCCAGACTTGTCCACTTCCAAAAATGACGAGAAAGAAGCTGAAGCTGTCGAATTCCTCCACGATGATAACAAACAAACCCGCTCTTCAAACATTAACATCGATAAGGTCGATACAGACTTAAAAGATGTTGAGGAATCACTTATTGATGAGACGTTGAAATACACGGGTGCACATGAAGGCGTAGTCGACTCGAAAGATGTCCAAAATGTGAAAGATAAAGTCATTTCTCAATTAGCAGCAGCGTATAATTTAGAAAAGATGAGACAGGCTTTGGGAGAGTACAAAAATAGCATTTCCAAGCAAAAGTTTCAGATGAAACAAACGGACGATGAAAAGGAGATTTCAGGGAATCACCAGCAGGAGTCTGAAGAAAATGACGAAAGGGCAAGCATTAAATGTGCAGAGGACGATGAGGCTTGTTTGGAAAAAAATACTTTTAATCAAGGTTGGTTGCCACTACAAGGAATTTTGAGAAGAAAACGTTTTTTCCATCAGTAACATCTTCTCATTTTCCTTGTACATTTGTTGTCTGCTTTGGTTGTTCTTCGTAATGACAATATGAATATTTCAGGATCATCATCATGTTCAAAAATTCAAAACATGTGCAAAGATCAAGCAGTAGATTTTCTTGGAATTTACAACCATTTACTAACCTCGTCTTGCACTTACCATCAAACCTGTCTCTTATGTGTAAGTAGAAGATATTTACCGTTACATTATTTACTTTCCTATATACCACGCTTATGTATATAGTGCAAGTAAGTGTAAAACGTCTTCTGCTTTAGAAATACCTAATGTTATTGTACAACTATTTACTTATCGTCCTTTGTGTACATAGTAAAAGAAAAGAGACGTACGTATGTGTATTGTTTTGCAATTATTCGCATGGGTTGGTTTTACGACTTCTTCTTTCGCTTTGTTTCTGGCTTTTGATGTTTTAATGCTAGGTATAATAGTAAAAAAGGCATTAAATTGTTTCAGAATGAAAATAGTTGGTTTTCACCAACACGCGAGTGCAACCAATTATTTTTGGAAAAGGCAAACAGCGTTTGCTTAGGGGATCATATTTGTCAGAGGGTTGCTAGAAACAGTATTCAACACCTTGTTAACCTTAACAAGGCGGTTGTACTAGATAGCGAAGATTGTTCTCAATACTGTTGGGAACAATTTACTAAGCCTCACAAACACGCTAAAACAACTTAAAAGATACTATGTCTTGATGATAATAATTTATTATAACTTGTGTCATTGTGAAGAAGAACGGTTTTGTCAGGTTTTTTTTTTTTAAATTTGAATGTACCAATCTTGTTACACATAGGTGCCTCTAAGAAACCATTAAATGTCAAACAGTCACATTTTAATTATTATTATTACTGGAGAGGTGCTCTATTCAAATCTTTTCTTTTACTTTTTCCAACACAATCTGGGTAGGTACCACTTATAATAATCAGCAAAAAGCTATTAAAATCTAGAAATGTCACTTTAAAGTAATCGCTTCAGTATCCGGTCCTGCTGTTAGCTGAAGAATGCTTTGAATGGAATTAAGTATAATAATACTTACACAAAAACCTACTTTACCATGATCTTAAAACTACATTTGAATGAATAACTTTTGGACCGACGATGAAGACAGTAAATACTGGACAATTTTAGCTACTAAATATCTTTCATTATCTTAAATTTGTTTGATAAGGTGACATGTATTTCGACAAAATGGATTTTTGCTCAATCGAAGGAAATGATTGATAATTTCAGCTCCTATTTAACCAGTTTTCATCTGATATTCTCTTTTTTTTGACTATGATACTATGAACGACAATAATCAATATCGTCGTGCCTTTTTAATGTGCTGTTGTGTTCTCTTTGCGAATTTGGTACTTGTTAATTTGGAAAATGATTTCAACTTTAAAGTAGACGTCTAGAAACTGAAACAGAGCGCGTAATGTTGTAGCAGTTTTCTTGACAAATTATCTACAAATTAAGAACTAATAATTACATAAATTAAATTAAATCGAACGAAATGGGCACATTAAAAAAAACAAATGGAGCATTAAACCGGATCTACTTTTAGATTTTTGGCAAAATTCCCAAGCCCTACATTCAAAATTGCATTGCAGCACTGACGAAACTTGCATGTTATTTTTTCTTTTTTAGTAACAGACAGATCTTTATCTTTGTTCTTTTTATAGTAGGTATTATTAACATTCTTCTTCACAGTGAAATTTAAAATTTAAGCTTACAAAAAGATATCTAGTAATGATGTTGTTAAAAAAAAAAATTTATTGTTGTTATCCACAATACTTAGCACTGATATGTGTTAACAAAGGGTGGCAACCCTTTTCTATAATGTATGTCTAACATTTCTTATGTATCTGATTATTACAATTTTATCATTAGATCTGACTGAAAATCACCTATAATTTTTTTAATAATAGCTGTGGCATTAAAAATGATAATAAATCGATCGACTTTGATTGTAAACGAAGAACCAGTGTAATTTTCCCAGAATCTAATACTAAAATGCATTTATTAATTAGATGATACTAAGTACGTACTGCAATTGATAAATGACTTGTAATGTGTAAAGGAAACACTTAATAATACTTCCGCAAACTTTATTATTATTCACTATCACACGATTCACTTATAACATTTTTAATATTACTAGTCGAACCCGTCCAAATTTGGATAGATTAGCTATGATTTTTAATTAAAAATCCCGATTTTAAACGACAGTGTCACGCACATTTTCCACAGCGGCATTACATACAATTATTTTATTTAGGTTTATCAAGTGTCACAAATAAATAACAAACTTCCATTATTATAATAACACATAACTTTATTTCCAAATATAAATATAGTGCTTACATAACTAATCGTTAGTATGTTAACAACAGTCTTTGTGAACTTTTATTTTCTATCACAACATTTTCCAATTAATTAAATTTAAATAAGTTAAATGCAAATGGAAATTAATTTAATTTACTTTAACATGCCGACGATATATTAAAGCCACAAATGGACAATAAACGAACCAAACTTAGACTCAAGACATAAAAAAAAAATAAATAAATTAATTAAACTTACTTCGAGTAGGTAATTATAAAACAGTTTAAATTGGGAAATGTTTTCGATTTTTCATCCCCTGTTCGAGGCAGTTTCTCCTTAAATTGTGACATAATTTATTTACTATTTTTACTACTATCTGATCATTAAGTATACGTATATTTGGTGCCGCATAATTAAAAGCATAACGGCGAAAATAATTTCCTACAAACGCATTTTATTTATAATAAATTTAATATATTTAAAATAGATGTCATGCTCAGCCCAAATTACGCACAGATTACATTCCTCAGATAGGCGAATGGCTCAAACAAGAATACTGCTAATTTATTTAATATTAACTAACACACATGCATTTATGTATGTATGTATGTATGTATGTATGATATAGGAACTCGTCTAAAGCTACATGAAAAAATGCTAATGAAAACTAATCATAAGAGAGATTCGTAAACAATCTTGATTATGAACTACGTGTTCAGACCCAAGGAAACGTTCTGAAAGACTGTTTTCGAAATTTTGAAAACAGCCTCAGCCGTATCACAGTTTCATCCTAAATTGTTTTACTGAAATAGTTGTCATTTTATTCACGTACTTCGAACGAAATGCTATAAGCACTATTATTTTAGGTAAATGTTTTTAAAATAATCCAGTCGTCAACCTTTCTAGGTACTACTTACATACATAACATATGTAGGTCGGATTTAGATCCGAACACTAGTTCAATCATTTTAAACAACAGACAGCTTTTGTGATAGATAATGCAAATGGTAAACAGTACAGGCCATGCAGATAATGTTACCAATTGCAATGGTCATATGAATCTTTCTAAATCTTTTATAAGTTCGCATATAATGGGGACAATTTACTAATTCTCCAGCGTTATGTTCACCGACCTCGGTCCCTACGCCGGTAGCCTTTTCCATGTCATTCTTTTCTGCCATAAGTTTCAGAAGGGGTGGCGATAAATACTGCCTTATAATTGTTTCAATGAGGAAACAAAAAGTCATCGCAAACACCTGCAATTAGAACAACAACAAATGAAATCATTTATCCGTAATTTTATTGTTATCTTCGATAATATTTTTTGCCATAAACAACGGAAGTGACACAAGTTACCTAGCGTACCTTTATAGCCCTAATAGGTAATCAAATAAGGGCATTAGGTTCGGTTAGGTTGGGATTATAACACATTATGATTACATGTACCTATAATGGTTTCCGCGCCTATACAGTAAAATTCACTTATAACGTAGAAGCATATTACAGACTTACGGTTAAAACGCTCGAGTAGCTACGTTATAACCGAGTTTTACTGTATATATTACAGACGTACGGTTATAACGCTCGAGTAGCTACATGATAACCGAGTTTTACTGTATATATTACGGACTTACGGTTATAACGCTCGAGTAGCTGCGTTATAACCGAGTTTTACTGTATATATTACAGACTTACGGTTAAAACGCTCGAGTAGCTACATGATAACCGAGTTTTACTGTATATATTACAGACTTACGGTTATAACGCTCGAGTAGCTGCGTTATAACCGAGTTTTACTGTAAATATTACAGACTTACGGTTAAAACGCTCGAATAGCTACATGATAACCGAGTTTTACTGTATATATTACAGACTTACAGTTATAACGCTCGAGTAGCTACGTTATAACCGAGTTTTACTGTATATATTACAGACTTACGGTTAAAACGCTCGAGTAGCTACATGATAACCGAGTACTGTAAATTTTTGTTCATCAACAGAAAACGATTCTATTTAATAATGTAATTGAATCTTCGCGAGCGAGAACAATCGTATTTGTTGTATTCAATAGTTTATAAACAAATCCCTTGTGTTCACATTTTTCTATTATCTACATATGTATGTTTCAATTGATGTGCAATATCAATAACCATTCATTAGTAAATACAAACTGATTTGTTTTATTAAAAGGAATTAAACAAACAAGTAGATCCTAATACAAATTATTTTTAATACTAATTTAAACAGTACATATGTATGTGTAGGTACCTGTACCTATGATTGTACGTACCTATTATAAAAAAAAGTTTTAACTCTTATCAATTTTCTGATTCGTGTGGCAATTAGATATCTGTAACTGTGTACTCCATTTTATTAAAACACATTTAATTATAAACACACGTAGAACTAATTAACGCGTGCTTAAAAAAAATCAATTATAAACAGACGTGAATTTGGGCTTTTTTTATTACCTAGACCGCAAAAAAAAATTTTTTTTTAATACATTACGCAAAATCAGTAGCTTTTTAAAAACTTTCAGGTAGCGGAAAAGTTATTTAATTGAATAAATTATTGTTATCAATAAGCGTTATCAGGTGTGTGCGTGATTATAAACTTTAGTACGTACAATTTATCACGTAGGCTACTTAAATTTTAAAATAAGAAGAAAATTTTTACAGAAACTTTTCCTACGCGTAAAACGACTCTAAAATGTTTTCTTATCATATACTTAGGTAGCATCTACTTGTTCATTTTTTTCTTATAAGAATATGAATATTTACCTGAGATGCTATTTGAGGTATATGAAGTTTGGCATTATTGTGTTCCAAAAAGAGAGTCAGGGTTGTCAGGCTCATGAGGGCGTTCAGGACGAAATATTTCGGAAATAGAACACTTTGTACTTCCCCGAAAGCGTGGCGAGGTAAAGAAAAATACAAAGCTAATCCGGATACGAAGGTCATCCAGATTTGGGCACCAAAGTGTATACTAAAGGATGCCAGGTACAGCATAGTTAACAATGGAGAAGGAGGATTTTCAGAAACAGTCTCGCCATGGGGATAAATTAATAAAGTTACAGTGGCAACAGCCAAAATAGTTACTAAATGAGCTGGCTGAGTAGTTCCAAATACAATTCTGAAATATAAAGAAAATATTGGTACAGTTTTTCGCACTATTACCTACTTATCCGGGTAGTGGAAGACAATGCAATGCGATCTGGTACACATATAAAATATCAAAACTGTTGTGTGCTAACGGTTTTTAACTATTACATTTCATACAATTGCATCAGGTACTTAAAAATCTCTAAAAATAAATATGTATGTAGATATTTAATAAGGAAAAGAAAGTTCCTGGCGTTTGTCTAATAAAATAAACAAGCAATAGTTGTTGAAAACAATCCTGTAAAAAAAAAACTACAAAACCTCATTGCGTTAATTCATACTTCAATGCTATCTTCGTGACCTTTATTAAGTTTCAAGTTTAGAGAAGGCCAATGTATGCAACGCAAGGCTTTTTTGTTACTTTTTTATTACCTGCACGAAAAGATAAGCTTTAATTTTTTTAAATTATTGACCTTTATTAATTACGTTTTCGAAAGCGTAAATAATCTTTTATAAAATTTGAAACGTACAAAATTAAAATTCGACTTATTGACTGCTGCAAATTTTAATTTTATAAAATAAATAATATTTTTTCAGTAATAATGAATGCAATATTACAAAGTGCATGTTAGATTATTACAGGAAGCACTCCATCAGTAGATATGAAACCAATTATTTAATTCATAGTCAATTGTACGTAAATACGTCCTGTAACGTGAAATTTTCAAATGATTTTTGATTAATTCTCGATTATAATTCAATTTTTGAAAAAAGAATACATTCATTAATTATACAGTTCAATTATTATGATTGCCTAGGTATATAATTTTGTCAGACAAATGAGGCCACCGAAAAACGAACAGGTACATGAAAGACTATTAATTCTATTATACATTTGAATAATAAATTACATAATAATTTAATTCAGTTGAATTAAACACATTTTTACACATGTACCTTGTACTTAATGATTGAATTTATAATTTGAATTCCTAGTATTGTTTTAAAATTTATCAAAACTACGGTNCCATATTTGTTTCTGAAAACGTCGATATAAAATGTTTTATTAACTATATTTTTTATGGTATTATATTCTGAACCCTAGTATTAATTGTAAATTATTATACAATAGCCTTTGATGCGTAAAACCACACGAGCTGAACCTATGGCGAAATATTTTTTTAATTTGCAAAGTATTTAGTTACACAATTTTACAGCATAATCGTTTTTACAAAACTTATGGCACCCACACTTTATGATGTTATTATAACATACTTAAGTAGGCACATATTACAGTGGAAAAGTGTTTCTATGCGAAATGCAGTTTTTAAAATGCTCTAAAAAAGTTTTAAACTTTATGAAATTTACGAATAAAAATTTTTGAGCGTAATGATGAATAAAAAAAAAAATAATAAAGCATACTTACTTATAAGCCTTGGATTTTTCAAAATGTTTCATAAATTTGCCAATTTCGAAAAGAATAATTTTGGTATGAATGGTGAGAATGGCTAGGGCATCACTATAAGAGGGTACATTTTCGGAAATTTCGCTGATAACCTTTTTCGACTTTTGGATATCTTTGAATTTCTTTTGAGCAATAAGTTTTGGAAAACTATGGGAAATTGTGAGGGTATCGACCTTACACATCTTTTCACGAGAAAATTGACTCACGGCAACACCACAACACACTATACCACACAAGTACCGCTTTAGCTGTAGTTAGTCACGTAGGGGGTAGCTCGTTTTTAAATTGCGCTCCCCACTTTAAAACTGACGCGAATAGTGGGTGCTTAGATTATCGAAAGGCACGTTTTATATCACTTTTTTATTGCGATAACGTTTAATATCACGCTATTCTCTATCATTTTATTGTGGCGCGGAACTTGAATGCTTATTTATCATTTATTGCAAATTTAAAAGTTAAAAGAGACAATGTACTTACGTATATAATGTATTATCATTTATTTTACATTTGTACACCACGCGACCAAAAATCAATCGTCATTAAAAACTTTAATATAACATTTGCGCTTCACTTTTACAGTACCGTTTATCTATAAACATTTTTTTTATCATATCAATAAAGTCATATTTATATTTTCATTAAATTGATGTCAAACTTCACAGTTCATGTTAATTTCCAGACTTTCTTATATCAAAGTCCTTACCTTTATCTACACATCTTTTTATTACTTAATTGATATATAGCTTCAAAAAATAACTTGCAGACTAATCTAAAAAGATTTCCAATGGTTAGATAAATATAGCTTTTAATTTTTCGAACACCCATGGTCTTTATTTTGGAAAAGGATCTTACTGTAAAAAGCCACCCCTTAAACATTAAAATTAGGCAGCTTTCAAATCATTTGTCTCTCAATAAGAATACATTACCCCTGTTTTCAGGCAACCCAACTTGCGAAAAATACTGTTACTTCTTGTGCGAAATTTTTCTACTAGACTGTACATTAGCACAAGTATTCATTTTTTAAATGTAATTTGCTACTATTTTATGTAGGCATTAACCCCGGATGCATGAACAATAAAAAATAAAGGTTTTACCAAACAATTTTACTTCATTCAATGGTTAAAATGAAAATAAAACATTCAAGGTTTAACTAACGGAACCAAACTCACATCTAAAGTAAAAAAAAACTATCGATAAGTATTTGTATTAAGATGTTCGACTGAATTCAGAATTCCCACAGTTATTGTGTAAACAGAGTAAACCTCAACTTTTATTATAGAAATGTTAATGAATAATTTGTTTTCCTGACGTAAAAAAACACATCCTTTATAAATTTACCATTTCCGATTAAAAAAAAGTGCTTTTTACCTAATAAACAACGTATTACTTATTCAAGTTACCTTTCATATAATGTAAAAATTTCCTGCAAGGTGGATAAAACAATCAGGATCTAAATTTAGCTAATGAATGCACTTTTGCATAAAATAAAAAGTTGTTTATTAATTATGTACAGTGTGTTATGCAGGTACCAATTATCTATGTAGTGTTGAAGACTTTTTATTGTCATTAAAAAATCCGAGCATTTAATCGAGTTTAATATGATTTATACATATTGAGTAACAGTTCTTTAAGGTTCTATATATTAATAAATTATATACCTACAGCAATACATATGACCTCTCAATTATCGCGTTGGTTAATTACAATTTAGATCGGGATAATCTCAAAAATAAATAGCTTTGTAATTAGCTACTTCAACTACAGTAAATTCAAGGTTTTAATTTTTATTAATGCATTTTCTGTAGCAGAAATCTCACGTATACGGTATATACGTAATTTATTTGTCATAATTACAGATAAACGATGCTTAAATGTATGAAAAATTATTATTAAAGACAAATAAACCGATAATTTCTTGGTGCCCTAAAACCTTCCCATCGATACGCCTCTGACAATTTCATCAAATAATGTAATTTATGCAAATTTCGTGCCGTTTGTGACGACAAGTTTCACAATTTTTAAGACGTTTTCTATTTGCTTAAATAATTTTTATGATTCATATAAACCCGTTGGAAATGCAACTGTCCACGTTTTTAAAAAATACACGGGTTTACAGGTTCAATAATTTATTCCTGAATGAAGGAAAAATATCTACACATTTGTAATAATTCCACTTGATAATCATTTGACAAATTTTATTTACCCAACAAAATTAAGTATTTATATGTGGATGATCTTATATTTTGTTTATAATCGTGATAACAAGTATTCTGAACAAAATATTGGTGGAGATAAAAAGCAATTAATTCTGATATAAATTCAAACAATAATACAATACGTATCAATAAACACGATATAAAATAAATCGCAGATTAATTACATGAAAAGCAATAATTAATTATTTGAAAGGATGACTGATATTGGTTCATTATAATTGCATTTGCTAGAAAAACTCTAGGTTTTGCGATAAGTTTTTTTTTTTTAAACTTGACAACTGTTTCAGTAAAACAATTCCTTCTTCAGAAATTAATTACAAGTAAGCATAACAAACTAATTTCATTCGTGTTTTATTTCGTAATTTAAAAAATATGCAACTTATGTGTTCTCACAAACTTCAGCATACAGATGAAATAGGCAATAAATTGTGTAATATAACAATTATTACTGGAGCAGATAGGTGTGTGTCAACTATCACGTAAATATTTAGTTTATAGTTACTGTAATTGTAAATTATAAACATTCTGTTACCTTCAGTTTATAAAAAAACCCATGTTTCACAATTAATCACTCTAAAATCGACACTGACAATTAAGGTAGAGATTGGTAATTGAATTTAATTCTGTGCCTATCAGTAATAATTAAACTTTGGAAGTTATTTAAAGTATCTACCTCTTATTAAGATATAGCGTTAATGAAATAATACTTATAAGCGTTACCTTTTTGCCTATTGTTCGATCTTTTTTTTTCTTATTCTATTCAAAAGTATTTAATTTTTTTCATATCTAGTTGATATAAAAAATAAATACGGTTCTGCTCATTTTCATATTTATATTTATTATTTAATCATTTAACTTATGCAACCTTTCATACATATAAAAGCGCAGTGAAGAAAAGGCTAAATACGGTCCTGCTCATTTAAATGTTTTTTCACTTCTAAAGTTAGACGACCCGTCGCACACACGTGTACGCAGGGAAAACAGCTCAATTAAAAATTAAAAACAATACAATAAACTTTATGTTATTTTTAATGGGTTAATGAATAACCAATTGTAGTATAATCTTCACCAAATACAATCTAACTTGTGTGAAAACGATTACTTAATATTTTTTCTTTGTAAATATAGTTGCATATTACTTGTTGCTGTATATTTACAAAATTTTTAAAAATTGCGTTGCTCTTATTGAAGTACTTTTATGATTGTGTTGTTAGCAGATTTGTACTATAATATTTACATTCATCCATGCTTGTATAAGGCGTATGAGAACAGGTACTTAAATCTGATAGATACATATATTCAGAAGAATTAAAAAAATACAATCATTGAAATGTTAATAAACAAGAAAAGAGAGAATACGTAAATATGACCTGAAACTAATGTCAGCAACCTATGATTTTCATAATTATGTCATAATTGAGGGGTGTTTTCTTTTAAAATTAAAAAATAAAAACAAACGTCTACACGCATATGGTCAGAATTGGTCAGAATAATATACGAAATACGAACATTTTTAATACATAAAACGTAACGTGCATATAAAAGAATAAATGCGCTGTTGCCATATTTATTCCATTAAAAACAATTTTTCCGAATATATTAATATTTTTTGTACTTTTTTCATATGTTTAAAGAAGCGAAATTCGAAAGGATAAAAGTTAAATGTCTAAAAATGAGTGAAATGTATTTATTTATATTAATCAGCAATTACATATTCCTATTATGATCTCTTTAAAGCTAGGAATACTGGTATTAGCAGCATTTGCTCTATAGATGGCGACTTCTTCCTTTGTATTTAGTTATTTTTAGGTATATCAGTTCCCAAAAAAATGTTTTATTGCATTAGAAATTGTTTTTTTATAAACATTTATGAATAATCCTAAAAGCAATTTTTAAATGAAGAATTTTTAGAATTCATGTTGTTATTTTTTATTTCATAAAACTAAGAGAAAAAAATACACAGTTAATCTGTCGAGTTAAATACACTCGTTAAGTGAACAAAGAATAATAAAGCCAATAATTAATAGTAGATAATAAGAAATTCATTTATGTGACAACATGGATCAGAAAACGCTTTTAAACAAGGATAGGTAGATATTTACGTAGAGAAGAGTTTTTATAAAATTGATCTTTGCTGTAGTGACATTTTGAATGTTAAATTGGGGAAAAGGCTGAAAACGTTGGTAGTAAAGCGTGTGGACAAGAACAATTTGGCATTTTGTCCTGTGAGATCTTTAAGAAAAGTTTTTATTGGTGTTGAACTAACTATTTCTGTATAAACATTAATGTCAGAAGCAGATTACTTCGCAAATATACGAACGTCTTCCTATTTTAGTCAAAGTGCAATGCTAAGATTAACTTTGGTTTCCTCTGTGCGTCTCTTCGTATTTGGTTAAAAGACGAAAATAAAAAATGATGGAATGCAAATAAAAACAGAACATATGTGGTGAGAAATAACATTTTATTACGTTACAGTCGCGGAAAATAAATGAGATCTAACAAAGTGTGTGATAGTGGATGGATCAAATGATTTGTGTTACAGTGTTTATGTGTAAATGAATAGTTTGTTACCTGTGTAGTATGATTGGTAACCGTACGTGCTAGAGACTGAGACATGATCAAGGAAAAGCACGAGAAAGGAGCAGATAGTGTTAAAGACGAGCCGGGAAGCTCAGATAAAGATTCCAGTAATACAGATGTGCGAATTAAGAAAGAAGAGGATCCAACAGGGAGCTGTGCTGTTAAAAAGGAACCTACACGACCTGTTACCAAGAATGGAGGCATTATTGGTTCAACAAATGTGGGTTCTGTTCATGTTTCTGCAGATCATAAGCCTGATACAAGTGACACATCTAATACAGAGCCAAATTCAATTCCTCTAAAAACAGAGGAATGTTTGGAATCAAATTTGCCTAGTGATGCATTTGGACTTAATATCAGTTCTGCTTCTGCTCATCACACTCCTCCAGACGGAGTACAACCACTGCCTAGTAATGTTATTAACAAACAAGCAAACAACATGGAAGTTCAGTATATGCAACAACAAAGTCAGATTTTTGTGTTCTCAACTATGTTGGCTAATTCTGGTGCTGAAGAAGTCTTACAGGGACGTTATGCATCGATAATAGCATATCATTGTGCTCAACCGGGCACTAAGAAATACTTAGAAAAGAACCCACTTAAAGTTAACCAATTTAATCGTCAAAATCCTGCACAATGGTTGAACAATTTAGCTATGATAAAAAACAAAGGATGTACACGCAGTCCAGGTTTAGGACCAAAAGGACAATCATCTCTTGATAGTTTCTTGGGATCGGACAGTTTAGATGAAATGGTAGGTTTAACTGATAGTGATCTCCCTTGGGATCAGAAAAATAGCCATCAGCTTGAAGGGTTGGAAGGTGTGAGCAACGGTTTGCCTGATGTTGGACCTGATATGGATTCTTGTAGTCCATCTTTAGCTAATATGCAGCCCTCTTTGCAGGGTGTTAAAGTGCCTGATGAAAACCTGACACCACAACAGCGTCAACATCGTGAAGAGCAGCTTGCAACCATTCGCAAAATGCAACAAATGTTGTTCCCTGAAAGTCAGACTGGAGAAGGTAATACAATTTTTCTAAACAAACTAACATGCTGTATATGTATGTTGTTCATAAACAAATTCCATACTTAATATGTAATACAATACATTTTTCCTTAATAAGTTTGAAAAAATAGGAGGCATAAGTAGATTTTAAATCTGTTTTTACATAAAATGAAATTGTCTATGTTAGTAAGTATATTTGCTCAATCGTGGGTCACAAATTAAAATCACACATTGTTCACTACAGGCGAAGAAAATCCAGATCTTTCTCATGGAGTTATACCAAACACAGCTGGAAATATACACAGTGGTCCTGGTCCAGGACGTGGTGGACCGGTGTCTGCACAAATTGAGTGGGAAAAACTTCAACAGGAATTTTATGATCGCAACAAAACAAAACTGGATAGCAGACAACCTGGACCTAACATGTCATCAGGATCCTCTGTACCCAATCCAGCTTGTGCAGTTTCTTTAGGCAATTCTGTGTCTGTAGGACATTCAGGTCCTTTAAGTAGTTCAACTGGTACTTTAAATTCTTCATGTCCACCGGGTCCTTTAAGTACGTCATGTCCGCCAGGACCTTTAAGTTCATCATGTCCATCAGGATCATTAAGTTCTTCGTGTCCTCCTGGACCATTAAGTTCTTCTTGCCCCCCAGGCTCTCTAAATACTTCTTGTCCAACAGGTCCACTTAGTTCCTCTTGTCCGGCTGGACATTCTGTTCCTCGAGGTATATCCGCGGGTCCACGACTTCAAGGACCCCCTCCGCCATATCATCAAACACAACGTTCTGCTAGTGTTCCTGTGGCTCTTCAAAGTCCCAGCCCTGTTAGTCCAAATAATCCTACATCAAATTTATCGCTCCCATCTCCAAGAGCTTCCTCAGCGGTAAATTCCCCTGCTGATCCAAATAGATCTTTTAATCTTAACAGAATGGTTTCGACGGGACAGAGTCCTACTTCACAGGAGTCTCCCACGACGTCTAGACCTAATCCCAGCAATCCAGGAACTCCTGTATCTTCACATCTTTCTCCTAGTGTAACAAGTACAAACACCGAATCAACTAATAGTCATCAGGCTCCAGGTTAGTTTTCTATGATGGCTTTTTTACTTCAAAGGTAATTATGGTTTATGTTTCAAGTTGACGGTATGTTTGGCCGAACCCTTCAATCTATGGCACAACAAAAACAACAAATGGGTAATTGTACGGCAACATCAAATCAGACTGGCCCTTCATCTAAGGAACCTAATTTAATGCCTGTACCGTCACCTCAGCAAATTCAGTACCTTAACACCTTCGAAGGACAAGAACTTATTATTCAAAAGCAGCCAAATACAAGTCTTAAAGATGGAAACGTTTCTTCTCCGTATGTTATGATTAAAATAAAAATGTAATACACTCTAATTTAATTATTTCACTTTAGAGTATTACCTTCTACGGTAGACAGTGGTTTTCCTGGTAATAATGACGCATCTACATCTAGAGTTTCTGATCCTCATACCCCAACTTCAGGTGATGTTTCACAAAGGTTCTCTAGTGGTTCAGTGGTATCAAACGAGGGTTGTAGGTTTCAAATTCCAAGTCCCCATACGCCCAACACATCAATAGGTAAAATGCAAGGATAATAAAGAAATAATTAATTAAGGTACCTTTTCTTTAGGAGAAAAGACGAGGTTAGGTGGCGCCGTCTCTACGTCGGGGTTAAGCCCGCAGACAGGTCCTGCAGGTGGTTCTGGGTCTGGTTCTGGTAATGTTACTGGACCTGGACCACTATCAGGAAATGGTCCTCTCTCTAGCTCAGGACCAATGACTGCATCCGGTCCAATTTCCGGCTCCGGCCCTATAGCGGGATCGGGTCCCTTGACATCATCAGGACCTCATTCAGGATCTAGTTCAGGCCCTATGCAGGGTTCCGGGCAGGGTCCTTTATCTGGATCGGGTCTTCTTTCCGGTTCAGTACCTATGCCGGGATCAGGGCCGATGTCGGGTCCTGGACCTGCTCCGGGGCCAGGTCCCTCGTCTGATCCACTTAAAGGTGATATTTTTCCTACTCCTAGTCCCCATATGATGGATGTCCATCGATTTCCTGGTCCAAATAGTTCACCAGGTCCAAAAATGGGTGGCAATTTCGTGAACGTGTCTCCTTCAGCTAAATCAAACCCTTTGGAAATGGGAAGCTATGGATGTGCTCGAGCGGACAACCTACCTCTAAATCCAAATTGTACAAGTTCAATGTCAGGAAATCCTAAGGTTTCTCACTTTGATCCCATATCTTCTCTAGCACAAATGAGTCAACAGTTAACAAATAGCGTAGCAAGTTCAATAAACGGCCAAGGAAATCAAGGTCCTGGTATGATGAATTTTGGCTCTCCTTCGATGCATATGATGGATATGACAGGATGTCACGGAATTGGTGATCTCGAACAGGCCCCTGGTAATATGATGGGAATGCAAATGCAAGGACCACCACATGGCTATCATCCAAATTCTGCAATGGGAGCATCGATTCGCTCCCTTTCGCCAAAATTACAAGGTGCCTTTCCAAACCACATGCCAATGCCTCGAATGATGGGCAGGCAACCTCCTGGACCGAATCCGTACAACGGTGCCAATGTGCAAGTGAAACCCAATGCACCGAACACGATACAGTACTTGCCTGCCAAGTCCCAAGTTGGTAATGCTCCAGGAAACCGTGGGCCTCCCAGTTTAGACTTCCTTCAAAGATTTACAAATCCCTTATCAAATTTAGAATCTAAGATGCCTACACAAAACTTACAGTACTTCCCTAATTGTGGCCCAAGCAACGGACCCATGCAAGGACCTAGTGGCCCTATGCCACCTCATTTAAGTCATATGGAAGGGCCTGTTGTACCTGTAGGACCTCCAGACCCAGGGATGGGTCCCATGATCGGTGGACCAATTGGAAATGGTTCAGGACCGATGATGGCTGGTGGGATGGGCATGCCAGGAAGCATGATGACCATGATGAGAGGTCCTATGAGACCTCCTGGTATGATGAGGATGCCTCACGTTGGATTTAACGGCCCAAATCCTGGTGGATCTGAAGGAATGTTTAACTCTGGTTCAAATATTAGCAGCCCAAATGCGCAAATGTTTGTTAGTGGCCCTAAAGGGAGTCCTATGGGTATGGGTGCTCCTGATGCCAGTCAACCACTGCCTCCTTCCATGGGACAGAGCAATAGCTTTAAAAATTCTCCTTTTGTTGGCCCCACGACAGCTGATCCGAATTATGCTCAGCAGTATCACAATTTTCAACAACAATTGTATGCAACAAACACGAGAAATCAGATGGGTGGACAAAATATGGGGCCTGGTCCTGGACCACCACACACCCAACAAACTCCCTATTTTAACCCCAAATGATAATAGCAGAGGTGCTGTGTGTCGTGAGCCGCAGCGAACGTGTTAGGAGATTATAATTTCGTTTTATTTTTGATATTAAGTGAGAATAAGTACTGGCAATAATGTAAGTGCGAGTTTTTAATGTATATTTTCAGCTGTTTATATGTTATAATGCATCGAAATCAAGTGCAGTTAAGTAATATTCAACAGTACGTACAATGGCCACAAATTAGGCTCTACGCCTACCGTTTAAGCACTGTTCAGAGTTGTACATTTTGCCATAAAGATAAAGGGACGTTTTGATATAATCTAATTAAGTGACAGCTTTGTCCAAGAAGACCGAGTTTCACTATTGCTCATATTAATTTGTTTCTATCCACTTGTTATTCGTTTTATTGTACATTTTATGAGTATTACATAAATGAAATAACAATAAAATTCTATATTATATATAATAGACTTTCCATTTTTTATTTCAGTTTTCATAAATAGTAATTTTACTTAATATATTTATTCATTTGTTTTAGATTTTAAAAGTTAATAATAAACACTAAAAGAGAAGTTATGAAGATTTGAATAAAACGCTATAGGATTTATCTAAGTTACCATAGCAACAACTGGCAACAACCAATAAGAATTGCAGAAATTAATTTTGTCATAAATCTAAACGTACTTCATAATATAAAAGACTGAAAGAGTATTACTGATAAATAATCATTCATTTATCAGCTCTTAATAAATATTTAATCTTTTACTGAGTGTGTTATACTCAACGTTTTATTTATACATGTGAAACGACTACAAAAATTGTCAACGACAAATCTACTCATTTAAAGGTTATGTTGTGCTGTAATTGTAAGTTCAATATTCTATTTAATACAAAATAATTAAAAATATTACTCTTTTTTAATTAAATTAGCATAGGCACATTGACTGCAGACACTTTTATGAATGAAAATCAAAAAGCTGAAGTTACAGGATAATTTTACAACAAAATTGAAAATGTACTAACTTTATAATAAGAGCATTTATCAAGGGAATAATCTTTTGTTATGGCTGGTGGCGTTACTCCAAAAAAAGTAAAAAAACTAGCCGACTCAACTGGAAACCCAGAAGATACTGAAGAATCTCGGGAATTTGATAGTGACACTCAAAAAGCTTTAGAAGAAATAGACGGTTGTCAACATGAAATAGATGTTTTAAATGAGCATGCAAGTGAAGAAATTTTATCTGTAGAACAGAAATATAATAAACTTCGTAAACCGTATTTTGAAAAGAGAAGCCAAATAGTTGACAAAATCCCAAATTTTTGGTTTACTGCTGTATCCTTTCTTAGTTATGTAATTATAGATACAATATTAATATTTAGTTAACGTGTTCCTATTAATAATAGTTCATAAATCATCCTGATTTGGGCCCCTTATTGGAAGAAGGAGAAGAGGAGGTTTTACAACACTTAACTAAAATTGAGTCTGAAGAATTTGAGGATATAAAATCTGGTTATAAAATTGATTTTTATTTTGATGAAAATCCATATTTTGAAAATAATATAATATCTAAAGTTTTCCACATGTATGGTGATATGGGTAAATGGAGTTATATACCTTCTTGTCTGTTTTTTAGTTTAAGTTACATAACATCATTCTCATGTAGGTCGGCCTAAATCTAGTCACACTCCTATAAAATGGAAAGAAGGTTCAGAGTTCCCTCATAACTGTGAACAGCCAAGAACAATAGTTTCTTCCAGAAAACGGCGTATTGAACATAAATCATTTTTTTCATGGTTGCAAGACCATTCAGATCCAGTATCTGATGAAATTGCTGAAATCATAAAAGATGATCTTTGGCTCAACCCTTTACAATATTTCTTAGTTCCAGATGTTGATATAGATAATGGAATAGAAGAGGAGGGAAGTGAGGGCGAAGAAGAAGAGAATGAAACGGCCCAATTAGAAGAAAACGATGAAAATCAGACAACTGGTGAATATATATATTTTTTTAAGTAAAATCTATTTCTTATGGCACTTCTATTTTTTAGTACATGGTACATAGAAATTAAATGCGAATTACTGCTTCAAAGTACATACCGCAAATTTCTAATACTCTATGTAATACCACATAAATTAGGAATAGCAATACTACAGTGTATACATCTATTTTTCTTTTTATTACAGAAATAATTTATAGAAGTAATTAAAGCCCTGAAATCGACTTCTTTTTTATTTTAAAGTGATAAATGCATATTTTCCAATGGTTCAGAGGTTCCTGTGTTGAAAGCTCAGATTAAATAAGTGTATTTGAAAAGCAGAAAAGCGAACGCAACTGTCGTAAGCGGTAAAACTTCATATATTATCTATGGTAAGATCATGTCTATGGTAACATCTTATCTATGGTAAGACCTTGTCTATGGCAAGATCTTGTCTGTGGTAACCTTTGTATATCTATTATCTATGGGTAAAATCGAACTATAACCTTAAAATAATGGCTGTTTAATTTTATTTTTTTGAGTTGTAGATATTCGAAAATAGATGAAAAATTAAATAGTTTGTGTGTTACTGCAGTATTTAACAAAATATGGCGATAAAAGAAAATGCAAGCTATAATTTAACAAGCAATACATATGGTAAATAACGTTTAACAATAATTTTGCGTCCGTTTAATTTGAGACTACTTTTCTGTAGTTATTTTTAATAAATTTACTCTTTGTAGCTAAAATTGTAATCATATGAGATAAAAGAGAAACGTGATCAACTAGCAAAAGTAACTATAAAGTTCAGGTTGCTTGAATATGTAAACTACTAAAATCATGTCGGAGTGTAACAGTTATTCTTTAAATGCTCTTAAAATTTCTTCAGAAATACCTACAACTATTTTAGAAGATTCACTTAATAATGATGAAGAGGATATAAGCAAGAACCAAGCTTTTGATGTATTAATGAAGCAAAATGATTGTACAAGTAACAAAGTTGAATGGGAAGCAATTGAACTCCCTGATATTCAAGGTAATGAAACGTTTATTAGTGAGAGTATACTTTTATGTTCACCAAATGATCACGACTTGATAAAACTGTTTGGAAAGCCTGAAGAAAATGTTGCAAAATCAAACATAGTTGTTCGTTCTTACTTTAAAATTAAAACTCCACAAGTAACTTCTTATGTGCCAAGCAATGATCGAAAGGCAAGCGTCGTTTTAGATAAATGTGATATCCTTGAAGAAGCCTTAAATAGTCAGTTTTTTGTTAAAATTAAACCAGAAGATGGAAAAATGGAAGTATTGTTCCGTGGCATTGATTCTCAGCAAATTCTTCCTAGTCATTATGTTTTACCGGAATATGGAAATGTGGATTATCTCTCATTGGAAGAACAAGTACAAAGTTTAACTAAAACAGAATTAGTCCCAACTTTAAATAAAAAAATGCCATGTATACAACTGCAATCATCCATTTGCATTTGGCTGTGCCCACACCATCAATGCCGTATAGCATTTTTGAGATTTTCAGCTGCAAAAAATCATACACTTTTACATTTTGGCTGTAAGCCATACAAATGTGATCATCCTGGTTGTAACTGGGCGTTTTTTACATCATTTAAACTAAAACGCCATAAGGATACACACATAAAAAAAAAAGATTTTGTTTGTCATTTTGAAAATTGCGGACGCCAATTTACTACCATATATAACTTAGCTTGCCATAAAAGGCTACATGAAAGACCAGCAAATTTTGAATGCACTGTGCCAGAGTGTAAAGCTTTATTTCAAACAGTTAGGGCTAGAGAACTTCATCTGAAGACACATGGACTGGCAGAAGCTCCTTATCGTTGCCAAGTTGAATCCTGTAATAAAACTTTCTTTTTGGCCACAGCTTTAATGTCCCATGCTAGAATACATTCTCATAAGGAATCAGAAGTTCGTTGTCAGTGGCCAAATTGCGGACGTATTTTTGAGCAGCCTTGCCGTTTAAAAGAACATGTTAGACAGCACACTGGTCATAGACCCTATGTTTGCAACTATGACAACTGTAAATGGGCTTTTACAACAGCGAGCAAACTAAAGAGACATCTTAGTACTCATACAAATGATAGAAAATTCCAATGTACTATCGGAAATTGTACAAAAGCCTTTTTAAGATCTGAACATCTTAGAGAACACACACTGACCCACATAGGACAACGTAATGGTAATCTTTTGCTTGTTTTTTTTTTTATTCACTTAATATATATTTATATTTTTAAAGGAAATGATACTTTAACTCCTGCAAAGAGATCACAGCCTGAGTGCAGTACTTCTTCAGTTTTGAGTATATCAGATAGTTCTGAATGTCCAAGCCCAAATGTGCTTTTAGAACAGGCCGTTCAAAGCCTTGAAGTACCTTCAGATGTTATCATGGGAACAGGTATTCTCCCAGAGGAAACGCTAGAATTATTACCCCATGAAAGTTTTGAAAAGTTTTCAACAGTTAATTTGAAAGATTTAAGGAATCTTGATTAGTTTTTTTAGTTGCGGTTCGTTTAATTTCATGCTTTATTCTTTAAAAGTGCTATTTTCTACAGAAAGCTTTTTTCCTTAATTTGTTTGCTTTTGCGTTTAATTAACCAAGCTTCTACTTTTTGCTATAACTTTTAGCAAAGAGAAAAGTTGAATTTTTTCGTTGCTGACAGAGCTTTTAATTAACAATTGAATAAGTTAAGTTAATAAAAACACAGAAGTGATATTTACTTTTATTTTAAACACCTTTAATACAAATAATACAAACTTTGCTAAAAGAGTAACTACATTAAAATCACATTTTTGAGAATAAACACTTTCTGCTAAAAATAGTTCTTTTGTAAATGCAATTTATAAAAACTATTTTCTTTAGTAATCGTTTGCTGCTATAAAAACTATAGCTTTTTAACGATACTTTCGTTAATCACTTTTCGAAAATAAATAAAAAAATATAAAATATACGCAACTTTGTCCATAATTAGTAAAAAGAACTAAAAAAAACTGCATTTATAAAAAGAAACTAAAAACTTTTTTCTGATTATTAAAGCTGCGTACATTTGTATCCTATAGTAAAAGATTTGTTTCAGTTCAATAATAAAATACAGTATCCATCTTAAATTTAAAATGATAAGAGTATTTATAATTATTTCGACAAAAAACAAACATAACAAATTTGTTATTTTGCGTGTTAATTTAATAGTTCGAATCAACTTTTTGGTATCCTTGAGATTTTAAAACCGATTGTCAGTGGTTTCAAATATACACATATTTCTACACATTATTTAAACATTATTGCAACAGAGACTTTACTTTACCATAAATATATAAACATAAATTAAGAAAATTATTCACAACTTCTTTTAACAATTCCTTCACGTTACATCAGTCTATTAATGCCTATTTTTAAAGACGGATACTATGTAATACCATATACTATGATACTATAAAATTCACAGTCATATTTCAATTTAACAATTGGATTTATGTATCTTTTTGGATGGTGGGTCGGCATTGTCAACCTCCCTTTTCCTTGAAGAACCATTATTTGCAGACTCTTCATTAGTTGTACGTGATGCGTTGTTATTTTCTTCAACAGATGCCCAAGCTGATGCCTCATTTAGCGAAGTATCTTCTCCTTTCTCATCACAATTTGTAGAAGTACATTTTTCCGCAGTTAATTTAACAGTTTCCTTAGAGTCGGTGGAGGCAAGAACTCGTTCTATTGCAAGTCCATTGAAGTCTACTACGACGCTCTCAGCAGACGAAGTACGTGAACAAGCACCCGGATTATCCACATTTATATTTGCACAAGCACCTCTATTCTCTAGAAATTCACCAAAAGAATTTTTGTTTAAACGATTACCGCATTCGTTTGGCTCACCATCATCTTCATCTTTATCTTGAGAAGTTGTTGGTAAATCAGAACTAACATTTTGCGGTAAAGGTAAGCGATTTAAATCATTAACAGGGTTTGCTCTGCGAAGACCTATGACAAACTCTTCATAGGAACTGTTTTCAAATAGTTGAGAACCTTCGTCGCTACTGTGCGATTCTGAATCAGATCGCGGAGTTTCAGAATATCCAAACTTTTTACAGACAGCCTTGCAATCTTTACAAGTAAAAGTGCTGGTATTTACACAAGCAAAATGAGCCCCGAATGCTCCACAAGAGCAGCAGTTAATTATTCGCCATCTGGTATGTGGATTATTGAACTTACGTCCCTGAGGGCAAATGCAAATTTCAAAAGAACAATCGTACACGATTGTATCGTATAGTTCAGCATATGCATCGGGTTCTCTTTCCCAAGAGGCATCTTGCTCTGGAACAAAGACTCCAAATTCTTTGCAACAACTGATAAATTTGCCTGCGTTGTTACATGTGGGACACTTGGTGTAATAGCCGGCTGACATTGTGTAGCGCTAAAGGAAAAAAATACGAAGGTGTCAAGAAAATTAAATTAACTTATCCTTTACTATTTTATTCACCTGTACACAAATTCGATGAAGTAACCCTTGAGGTTGACAGCAACTCGGCCAAAAAATATCGTTAAAATCATCCCTTTTAAATTGTTCACAGCATATTAGACAAGACAATTCAGTCAGGCTTCTTTTAAGAGGATTTGCAATCTTCTGTACATGTCTGTGGTAGTGGCAAAAGGACTTAAAATTGTATAAAAACGAATGAGAGGAATGATTTTCCATCCCACATGGTAAATGAAAAACTTTCCTGCATCGAATTCCTGAGCAGTAGACAGTGGCATTTGGCTTTTTGCAATAGCAACAGTTAATATTTTCAGTTCTTTCTAATTCTTCTCGAATGTCAGTGTGTAGAAATCCTAAAATTCCTGAATTGTCCCTACCACTTTGCTTTATATTGGTACTCAGTAGCTAAAAGTATTTGTTTTGATACATTAACCATTTGCAACAAATTTATTTTTTTTTAAAGCTTACCAGGCAAAAGTAATGGGCTTTGATATTTTTGGTACATTTGATTCCACCATATTTCGCTATGTCATCGTCGTCTCGTTTACAAAATACACACACACCAGTACTTGCAGCAGCAGTGAACACTGACATGACTTTCTACTTTCTGAAAACAAACAAACATTAAACAAATTTTGACTAGTTACCACGTGTGCTTAACTTTCGAAACTGTCGCCAACACATGTACACAATGGATAAAAATATTATAAGTGGCAGAAAAATATTAATCAATGAAGGCACGTTATTAGATATAAGGAGGGCAACAATCACTTGATGATATACTAGAAAGACTAAGAAATCGGAATATGACTTTCAAAACATGATTATGTACAACAAATGGACTTATTTATGCAACTAATTACTTATTATGCACTTTAGTTGACAATTATATATAAAGGTTTCATGTTATTATCAGCAAGTAGTTAAATATCAACAATGATTCAGTGTCGCTTAAATGGGCAGTATTGCATTCCTTTGGTAAGCAATTGTACGAATAATCAGTACACATAAAATTACTTACTATATTATGCAAGATTTGGTTGTTTTATTAACGAAACTCATTCAAAATATTGATATTCTTTTATCGCGGCAAAAGGTAATTAAATGTAAGGTTAGGTGAAAATAAAATTTGTTATTTAATTTAAATAGGTAGTAGTTGATTAAAAATTAATGAAAGATCATGTAATTGTTACTGTTTAATACAAAAATGTATTATACCTACTCACTTAACATATCATTTACAAAAAACACAAAAGTAACGAACTATCCACAAACAATCAACTTTAACAACTACTGTTACTCTATGAACTGCTGGGAACCATAGACATGGACAAACCATAGGCTGTGAACTAATCGCGGACGCATAGATATGAACATAGAGTATAAACATTTAATAGAAACTACATGTCATAATGTATAGGAACAAAAAGAAGAAGTTAAACTTTTATGTCATAGTATTTTTATAAATTATTGAAGAATAAATTAAGTTATAATTAATAAGGAAAAGTTATTAGTATATATTGAAGTGCAAATATTTCATTAATGCTTGAGGTATGTTTTAATTAGTTCCGTTAATATTAGACAACCTTTGAAACCTATAATAAGAAAAAGGTTCTTTTCTTCTCGAAAAATTGACTTAAAATTAGGTAATTTAAACTGCAAAATAAAAATTAACTTTTGTATGATACAGACCAATTGAACCAATTATCTTAAACAATAACTTGATTAACTCTAAATATCAAACAAGTACTTTACGTTTATTTAAGTAACTTTTCACATTTCGTCTTTTGATTCATGTTTTTAGGATAATATACTTTATCGTTCCCTTTTTCAGTTGTAATTATTTTCTGGGGTTGCTTAAAGAATAATACATCTAAATCCCATTATTTATTTGTTATAAAAACACAATTACATAATTTAAAGTTAATAGTAAATGCTAAAAAGTGAGGTTTAATCATTTCAAATTATTTACATGCGACTAGATAGTTATTTAGTTTTCAGTTAAGTCTTGAATACCAGATTTTTACATATACATATAATCTATATACAATAAAGTACAATTGGCAGTTGAAATGACATTCATGAGAGGTTTGGTAAATAGTTCAATTTTAATAACAAGATACATTTTAAAACCATTAATTTTAACAAGGGCGTCTACAATTAAATGTAACTTCAAATTTTTTAAAAGACTGAAAGTTTTCTTCTTAAATGTATGTACTTAATTACATTTAATTGAATACAATGTTTGATAATGTTATCAACTTTAAGCATTGTAAAAAGTAATAATCTGCATTTCGGTAACTTAATATCATATACAGAAACTAAATTTAAATGATTAACTACTTCAAAGAAAGCTATTTTCCTTTTGAGATTCAAAAAATTTGAACTTCGTAAATATTCAAAACATCAACCTAACAGAATATTCTCAACATAAAATACATTATAAAAAAAAAAGAAAAAACAGAAAATATAAATATTAAAATTCCACTTACAATTTACATTTTCTTCTGTGTCTAATATAATATGTATTTCAATGGTCTTATTTTAAATTATTTTCTTCATAAATAAACAAAATTTACTGTAATTATGACGGCTTAAACTTCTGTAGATTTGGGTACAATATTTGACGGACTTTTACTGAAAATCCCTCCTAGAAAAGAGTTTTGATAATTGATGGGTTTACTCTTGGCTGACAATTTATCAGAACGGGTACAAGTACTTGCTGATGTCGATTGAAAAGACACTGACATTCCACTATCTAAACTTCCCACACTTCCGCGTCTTTGGGCCTTTTCTCCTGCAACTACACTGACATGTTAACCCATACTAGTGACTATTCAGTTATATCATTAATTGACTTACATTGATCATGAATATCCAACAACGAATTGCTTAATGCCGAACGTTTCATTTGTGTATCATAATTGGTTTCTTCACCATCTACAAAACCCTGATTTTGGCCGTAAGGGCACGGACGGGGACACACTTCTACATCAGCTACTCCACTGTCACGATTTTCAGTTCCTTAAAATATTAAATTAACTTCTTTATACTTATATACACAATTTTCAAATTTGTACTTTGGCGCCAAGTTTGCCATTTATATAACTCTAATACAGTAGTGTATTGCGGGTTACATAAATAAAACTGCATTTTCTTAAAATTGTTAAGTGTAAGTTTAGTATTAATATTAAGAGGTTTTTACAACTAATATCAACGAAATCATTATTCATGCTGTAGATAAGATTACGGATGGATTTTGTTCATGATTAACGAGTACGACTCCTTTTTTAAATGTTTAATATTTACATAAAATATTTTGTTAAAAACGAAAGTCAAGTAGTGTGTAATAAGAATTGTGAATGGGTTGTTACTACAAATAAATAATTTTTTAAAGGACCAGAGAAGCCCAGATGGGGTTTTTTGCCTAATAGAAAAAGAATGGAGTCCTAATTATTTTATTTACTTCATTAAAACCTCCTTATATACTTATTAGCAGACATTACTTTAATTTGAGAATTTTCTGTAGAAGTTATACTCCTATTACAACAAAATTAGATGAATTAGAATGTTTTTCCACGATATAAAGATGTGATTTCATTTCGAGAAAGATATACACATTTTTTTTATTGACCTATGTTCATATATGGAGGTTTCAGCAAAGTACAAAAGTTGGGGCTCCTTAGTTTCAGTTGTAGGCCAAAAACAGTTTAGGAACTCTCTTTTGTTTAGTTAAAATAAGAAATTTCCAAATTTCATATTATTTCCTTGCTTTTCAATTTATTCAAAACATGGCTGCCTTTTGGGTTGCATAATTAAACGGATTTTTTCATAAATAAATTAAAGGTTGGTAGTATTATATATGGTGTAATATTTGGAATGTTACAATTCTGAATGTATTANCCAAATTTCATATTATTTCCTTGCTTTTCAATTTATTCAAAACATGGCTGCCTTTTGGGTTGCATAATTAAACGGATTTTTTCATAAATAAATTAAAGGTTGGTAGTATTATATATGGTGTAATATTTGGAATGTTACAATTCTGAATGTATTAAAAAGTAAAATAAATACGTATCCGGTCGTGATTAAAAATTGTGAATAAGTGTAGCCGTAAATAAATACGAATATTAATATTTAAGGTTTGTACTAATATCCTCTGCTTTTAGTTCAATATTTGTTAAGTTTCGTTATTTACCTGATCTGTTAGTTCGGTTAGTTTTTTGTCTCTCAAGTTCAGCTTCAATTCTCAGGTTTTCCATCTCGTCCATTTCTAAAATTGATTCTTTAAGATCTTCGGCAAACTTGCACCTATCGTGTTCATTTCTTGCATTAAAAGTTATGAGAGCCTTTCCGTCAACGCGTTGGGAAAGCCGAATACCGTACGGATAATCTGAAACAGGAAATTATTATTTGTAGTATTTTCCATAACTATTGTATGTAGTGTAAAAATACTTACGAGGAACTTGGAATAATGTTACGACCATTCCACACAATGGATAACTATTTCTAAATGTGTAGGTAACTGAAGACTTCTTTTTACTGAGAATCTTCGTTATAACGAGTAAATCATTAAAAAGGAAAACTTCTCTTTGGTGTACGCCAGGACGTTCTTTCTTGTATATATCTGGTATTTCATACAATCTACAAAAACACACTAATCGCCGATGGGGAAGAGCCAAATTGGGTTTCTTTCCCACTATGGTTGCTTGCACTTTCATTACTTGAGACACATGATCTGAACCAGGCTTAAATTCGTTTGCCTTTACTCTTTCGTAAACACCAACTAACATATCACTATCTATGTCACCACAGTCGTCTATACCTCGTAGATTCTTTATGAAGTCTTCCAAACGCATTCTTCTCTCTGGCTTTATGTTCGGAGTATGCAAGTCTGTGTTTAACATTATTATTGCAAACGCCAACACAAAAATCTGTAATAAAAATATATGTTATCAATTATAATTAGGTATGTAATCCAGGCAAATCTTACCGTATCAGAAGACCTAAGTCGAGCTACAACATCTACATTGCATTGGCAGTATCGCCTATTTTTCTTTTTATTACAGAAATAATTTATAGAAGTAATTAAAGCCCTGAAATCGACTTCTTTTTTATTTTAAAGTGATAAATGCATATTTTCCAATGGTTCAGANGCCAACACAAAAATCTGTAATAAAAATATATGTTATCAATTATAATTAGGTATGTAATCCAGGCAAATCTTACCGTATCAGAAGACCTAAGTCGAGCTACAACATCTACATTGCATTGGCAGTATCGCTGTGAAAACACTTCCATTAATCTCTCTATCTTCTGTGCTTCTCCAGGCATTCGAAAATGCTGTTGGAATCGCCTGAGAGCAACGTCCACTTGCATTCCAGAGAGATCCAATTCTGCAGCGAAACATTCCAATACTGCCATGCAAAACGGACTTTGTAAATGTCCCAGATACTCTCCTATCATCTGTTTGCTCAGTCCTTTTCTGGATATAAGGAATCGAGCTACTCCTTGGGGGGTGTTCTCCAAGAATCCCCTTTTAATTAAGTACGCAATGCCCCTTTCTGGCTTTTTATTGAACAAATTCAAACCAACCCTGTACTGACGTTTTCGAATAGTTTCCGATATCTTGTAATTAGCCGGTTGCTCAGATCTTTCGATGTGGTAATTTGAAATGTTTCCTATACTTGTTTCAAGCACTGGTTCGGAATATTCATTAACTTGACCTTTTCTTTTCCAAACAGGCGATCCTGAATTGAATTCATAATGAATTCTATCAGCAGAGATACTGCTATCACTACCAGAACTCTGTACACTAGACAGCGAACCATTTTCGGTACTTTTACTGAGACCATTTTTTTTTCCGCTGCCACTTCTTTGTTCTAAAGATCTCGAAGTTATGCTAGATGTTCTTTTTGGTACTTCTGGTGGCATTTTCTTCGAGCTCTGACTGCTGCTGCGGGATTTAAGGAAACCATTGCTACTTGTATTACTTTGTGAAATACTGCAAGTACTCGAATTGTAAATGGGTTGCAAACTGTGTGGTTCATGTTTGTTTTCCACCACGGGCGATGAATAATAATGAGGAGTACCATGTCCGTGTATGCTACTGTAATTATCCCAAAAAACAGTAGGAGTTCCCGATTGACTTCTGGGTAGAGAGACACTGTCCACATTTCGCCTTTCTCTCAAAGACATCGACCTTACTGGTGCGATTCTTAATGTTCCGCATTCGAGATTGCTAAAAAAATACACAATTTATTTCATTCTTTTTTATTTATTTCAACAGTGTGTAAGTGTATACCTATTGAATGCATTTGTATATTCGTTTTCACATTGTTCATTGTCACCCAGAGTACTTCTAGCATCTTCGCCATTTAGGGGTATCCTCCTGCTGATTCTCTTCTCAGCTTTAGCCATGGCTGTTATAGCGGCAAACTTCTTCAGAAGAGTGTATCTTCTAAAGGCTCTTTGGATTGTTAAAGCGGCATTCCTGGCTCGTTCGCCACCATATTTACGTTCTAGTACTTCAATTTGCTTATCTAATAAGTCTTGAGATAATTCGTACCTAAAAATTTAAATGAAAATTGGTTGCCGTCTTTTGCTTAATTGTGTACATTTCTGCATGAATTACTTACATTGTTTGTACTCTTGATCTTTTCAGAACATCACCGTTTCTCAAGGAGCCCTTTTTGTGAAGAGCCTGAGTGACAGTGACATAGTTGGGGTTGCTGGAAGCAACTCGGTGAGGTGTATGGTTTACTGCTGAGGACGAGTAGGACTGCGACTGTAAATAGGTAGGAGCTTGAATATAAGTTTGTTCTTGAACATGTACACCCATAGTTGGAGATATAGGGGGTTGCTCCATTTTGGGAGGAAAACTGTAAAAAATTGCAAAAATTAGAACCACTAAACATAGATTCTCATAAAGACAAAAAGATGCATCTAACGATAAGTGGTACCACTTTGTACACAATTTCATGGACGAAAAAATTTATTAATCAAATAAATTTAATTAAATTTTGATACGGTGGTTAACTGCATGCGGAAAAATTAAGCTTATTTCCTATTTTTCGCAAAAAGGTAATTATGCTTACATTCCAAGGACGTGGGCCTTATAAACTAGTTCCCATCTCATAAACTCAAGTGCTATACTATACCGAGTGCTTCTGGTTTATTTACGTTTACATAAATAAATAGACAGTGACAACCCTATTTACAGTAGCCGAGTAATTGACTCCGGAACTGTAAATAAGTTTTATTTATTTATATTACTACTGCCCTCAGAATATTCTGACTTAAAGTGCGTTCAGTAATAAATATAAAAAAAACTTTTTTTAATAGGTACTTAATAAAATCCAAAAAATTACTTTTCAATTTTTTTCCCTTCAAAAATAGAAATTATATCATAGGCAGATACTAAAAAGAAATACTTAATACGGTTTTTTTAGAAAAAGTTTTTCGAAATTTATTAAATTATAATTTAAAAAAAGTAAAATTGAAATTTTTAATTACCTTCCCACTAAGAATCCAGAAATACAAATGATCATGTTGTTGTTAAAAAAAATAACAAACTTTTAAAAACTTAAAACTGAACAAATTCGAGAACAACCACTTTTCAGAGTTTTAAGGTGTCTGATTTGAACGATGTATACATTCCAACTAAGAGCAGCTGATGCTCCTCCAATATCTTAAAGTCTTAAAGGACTTCTCTGGGCCACATGTGCACCTCGAAAACGTACCTTTCGGAAACAGGGTCGTACGATATCATACAAAACATTAATAAAAGCATAAGTTTTAATACCAAATCGTATGAAAATTTCGAAACAATTACGATATGAGGAAGTACATTTTTACAGTAGGTGCATATAAAAAAATATGCTGAACTAGGAAAAAATGAAGTTTTCTGGAGTTTAAAAAAATTTCAAATTTTAATGAGACTGAATATTATTTTAATTGTTTTACTGGTTGTAATTATATCTCCCTATCATTCGCAAATAGCTACTATTAGAGACAATTTCTAATAATAGTAGCTCTTTCCACTTTAAGAACAGTGTAGAGACAGAAACAACTGTAGGAGATAATTACAAACTAGTAAAACAATTTAATTAGGTGTTTTATTGAAATTTACAATCATTAAAAAGTTTAACGAGCTTTAACTATTTATCTAATACGTCATATTAATATCTGCATATCACGATAAATGGAATGTGTACTAATAAGTAGGTGCTAAAAATCTTAAAAACACATTTTAAAATAGTAATATACACATGTTAAGTAACAAATGAAAGTGTTATTGAAATAAGGGAATTTTGTGGGAGGCGCCACTGGTGAAGTTCAGGTACTTTGGCAGATAGGAAAAGAAAGGAACTCTGGCATAAAAAAAATATATCTTGCGACAGCTGCACCTCAGAGGCAACTGGTAACACATGTCGTATCCTACGAAATTGCTCTTATAAAGGTACTGAATCCTCAAATTATGTTCCGAAAAGATCGTCTCGTTATACACTCATGGCGAGTTAATAACCGAACAAAAGAATATTCTACTACATTAACGATAAGTGATTAACGAGAGGCATCATCTTTTGAAAAAAAAACGACGAGATATAGGAAAATTCGTACAAATACTTTCAGTATTACGTAGCTTCCATTAGTGTACAAATTCAGAAAAAATTATTTAATTAAAAAAAAAATATAATAGAAAATATGTTNTATGTTCCGAAAAGATCGTCTCGTTATACACTCATGGCGAGTTAATAACCGAACAAAAGAATATTCTACTACATTAACGATAAGTGATTAACGAGAGGCATCATCTTTTGAAAAAAAAACGACGAGATATAGGAAAATTCGTACAAAGATCAGCCATATATTTTTCATATATATATTTCATATAAATAATAAAGTCCAATAAATGCAATTTAAAGTTTCTGAGCGGTTACACATTGTTCGATTTGTTTAGGAACCATATAGACATGGTTGAAAAAGTATATTTTACACGATTACCAAATTATACATTTTCCTTTATACGACAAAAAAAAATGTGGCACTTCTTTTGCCTTACCTGTATATAAGCACTTTACAAATACATTAATTAAATTAATTTTACTGGGAAATGATATCAATAACAGTATTATTTACAATTATTCGTTTCACTGTATAAAGAAATGAATTTGACAACGTTTTTCGTATTTTACTGTATACTGGTATAAATTATCCCAAAAGCAGGAACAGATGCCCAAAAGGATAGACAGCAGGGAAGTGGTAGTGGGGCCATGGGCACGCGAGCTAAACATCTGCTTTGCTCATTTCTTGCGGCAGAAAACAAGTTTCAGGTAAAAACAGTTCGGTAAATCTAAATACTTTTTTGGAAGAGGCGCGTGCCAGTACCTATTTCTTATCGGTCCTAAAATAATAAACAAGCATAAACACTGTATATAGGTACACAAGTAACTAAATGGTAGCGAAGATGTTTACTCTAATATCGTAATCGTGTTTTACCTAATTGCAAGAAAAACTGTTTTCTACTTAATTACGTAAAATATTTTAAACAGAAATTGTACCTAGTTACAATTAGCTTTCTAACTGACGTAAATCTCCTACAAACTTTAACAGTTTTTTTCGGTAATAACTTTTAAATTTGCGTAGGCACGCTAAGTTTGCGGAAGTTGATTTTTGAAATATGACTAAGTATGCATCTTTAGATTACTTTCAATGATTGATGAACGGATTAAGCTTGAACAGCGTGAATATGAAAAAAAAAAGTGGTCCAAAACTAATTGTACGTAAAAATTCTACAAAATTTGCGCTTAAAAATAAACAATTAAAGTGCCAATATATCTACCACGACTGCGTACAAAATGATGTACATACCTCGAAGGAGCAGTGTTGTATGTTTTCGACAAATGACTGTTTTCTAATCCAAATTTAGCGAACTCCTTGGATGAAACGCTATCTTGGTCAAGGATAAGACGACTGCAAAGTTACGCAAGATAAACTCTCAATACAGCAAGCGGTTTAAAACCGAAGGATTGCCTCTTGATTATTGATTTATTATTATGAAAGTTGCATGTACATACATACGCGATGCATACCCTATTTGTTCGCCCTTTTTTTATGTCAATGCATCAATTAAAAAAAAAAAATAATAGCCCTTCCTCAGATAAAAACAACAGTGCATAATTAAAATATAAAAAGTTGTCACTTTATTCTTAATTGCTTAAATATTGTGTATGTATGTACTAATGTAGCAAGCATGTATGCAGGCAGTCGTGTTGTGTTCTTTTATAAAAGAGGTAAAACTGTAAAAAGTTTTAAGTTTTATATACCTATTACAGTTACGTCTGAACTAAATATAAAAGCTAGATGTGTAATTGCACCTTTCCACTGAACATTCAGGTATAGTTTTTAATTATTGTTACATAAATCCCATGGGTAAAATTAAAGCAATTAGAGCATCCAACCATAAAAATACTAAACATACAATTAGTTTGCGAACAGTACAGTTATTTTATAATGTAATTTTTCATGCGAAAAATAATTCAAACACAACCTGCTAAGCTGCTATTAACTTTTATTATTATTTTATCATCTCAGGTTGTCTATTTATCAATATATCGATTCAGATCTTCGACAAAAATAAATGTAGTAGCAGAAAAGTCAGGAGGTTTAGTCCTAAAAAGTGCAAATTTCATCTTTTCAGTCCAATATAATACAGATATAAAATAATAAAATGAGAAACAGAGGGTAACCGATGTTTATTTTTGCAATTTATGAACTAGATAAACTTTGTGTATCTAATTGCAACATCATCACAGTAGATAATGGTAAACTTGAAAGTAACAGTGAAAACATTTCGTTATTGTAGTTGAAGTATTCTTAAAATTTGCCTTTAAGCAGTAGGTCAGCTACAGTAACGTAGCAATCACAATTTAGTGACCTTATAATGGAAACATAAATTTATATTTACGATTAAACTTACCGAAAGCGCAACACCCGTATCACATTTTACACGTTTTTCTTTAATAACTAAAAATGCATCTCAAACATGTCTGAGTTTGGTGAATGTTTAAATCTGTAATTGCTATTGTTGGTATAAAAGTACTTATCGGTTTAGAAATATGATACAAATAGGCGGAAAAGTGTTATACGTACATTCAAAAATATTTATAACCAATAAAAGAACTGTATCAATGTACAAAAAAATAATAATAAAAATGTAGTTAATAAGTACAGGTAGGTTCAGAAAGTTAAGAGTATTAAAATATCACTTTTGGACTGCCCCTTGTAGACCTGTGTTTGACAAAACAATAATAATAATAGCTTTCATATTGTAATACGCATTTATTTTCTTATTTAACGTGTTTCAGTAACATTATACATGCATAATTATATTTCAGTTACTCTATTTTGAAATAAAATCTACCTATTATTAGTTCACCCTAGACGTGACAATATTTTTGTAGTTCGTTACTGTGTGCCCGATGTTTAAACCAAACCGGGTCAGTCCGCGCCATGGACAATAATTGCAATTATTTACAAACGCTCTAGTACACAGGTTTCATTTAGAATACATTGAAGTCAATAAAAATCTACAATCGTAAAATCTATTGTAACCCACAACGTTAAATTCGCGAGGTCACAATTTTGTGTGACCCACAGTATTCAAGCTGTACAATTAGGTACTTCATTTGTCAAACTCTGGAAGTATTTGTCTATTTAACTTCANTAATTAGTTGTATGAAACCAGGGGCCATTCAACTCGAAACAAGTTTAAAATTTTCATGAAGCATTTCTTGCAAATTAGTTTTTTATTATCACGTAAAACAGCTTTACAATTGTGTAGTTAAATTAAAAAGCTATTGTTATCTAAATGATAAGCAATTAGTACTATTATCTGTAACAAAAAGACATTATCAATGATTAATATAACAGTTTAAAACACTAATAATAACATTAACGTTGCCTTTCGGCGTTATTCCTGCAATAAATGTAGAATGTAGGTACCTACATTAGAATGTACGTTTTCCTGCGTGGGCTCAAAATTGTAGGCATATTGTATAAAATAAACAACCCACCTAGTACGTAAAATATGTTTAAATTAATAAATATTTTATTCTGCAATATTCATATTGTAGAGACAATAAGTCGAATGAATCTCTGGTCACCTGTGCTATTGTACGTATTTATATTCGTATAGGTATATAAGTATGTAAATTAAACTAATTTCACATAAAAATTAATGTGAAAAGTAGGCAATCAAACGATTTTATCTTCGGCTTAAACGAAGTGAAAAGGAAAAGTAGCTCGTTGTGATTACCATTCGAAATCGTGTTATAATTATTTACTTCTTTGCAAAGTTATTAAAATAAACTCTGCTACGGCATACTTAATTATCTAACTAGATTTTTTCACCAATTAAAAATACTCATTACCCCAACAGTAATACTANAAACCCATAAACGTGGATCATGCCACATTTTAATATTATAACAGCGAGTGGCCTACACTAATAATTGATCTTGTATTGCTGAATTATTTATATTATGGTTAACTGTACATCGAGTAACTAATATAAACGTTAAATAAAGGGAGAATAAAAAAACAATACATGATTTATTTCCTATCATCAAAATGAAAATAGATAATAAATAGGCTTTGATAAAGAGTCCCTATGTATCATATCAGAAATGGTAACTTCTACAAGGCGGAAGTGGTTAATGTTTAAACTCCTACTGACACTTCGAAAACGTAAACTAGTTTTTTACCTAATAAAATAAGACAACGTTCGAATAAGAAATCGAGGCATGGTTTGCAAAGTAAGTAGGTAAACAACAGAGTGCATGATGATGTAAAACAACGGTATAGAAGTAAGACATTTTAACAGGTTTCACCCATATTAGCGACATGCTACATGGATTTTTAACCATGCATCATTGTATAAGACTACGTACCTATCTATTTACGTGTAATTATGCAAATTTTCTAAAAGCAAAACGTGATTGTACAGAGAAATTCGCTTATTACAATGACTTTCAATGATTGTGTCTAGTTTTTTTTTTACAAACTGGGTCGCTATAACCGGTAGATTTCATTATGCAGTGTTCTATTACAAACGATCTTAAATTAAAAACTCCAAGACACTTGGTATCTCTACGAATATTTAAACAATAAAAAATGCACAAACTAATACACATGTGTTATCAATTCTGTTTTAGTAAATCGTATTTCCGGTTTTGATCTTCTATGTATTCGCTGAAGTGTTCAAAACGTACTTTTATAACAATAAGGAAGTCAATTATTTACAAAATGAAACGGTAAATGTTTTCAAATCAAACGTGTACAAACTGTAAATAAATTACGAAAAAGCGTGCGTATTTTTTTAAATAAAACAGGCACCTATTTAATTGTTTTTTTTTTATATAATAAAACGCTTACACTATAAAAAATATATAAAATTAGTTATATGAGAAAAACTTTATTAAAAGTACAATCACTACAATAAGTATTAAAGCATGTACTTGGATCGTATACATGTACGTATGTACGTACGGATGCATGTATATGAATATAATATCTTACTGTGGGTATATAAAAGATAATGGCTGCGAGTGTATGCATAATGTATGTGTGTTCAATACATGGCAAATAAATGTAGAAATCTCACTGTATTCACTGTAAGTTGCTAGCGCGATAAATGAAGCATTGTTTGCTACTGAATAATGATAGTTTTATTGAAGTTTTTTAAAATAACTTCGATACTCAATTCAAGAATCTTTTTTTGGGATGACTCACGTAAGTTTTCTACTTCAAATTTATTTAAATGACAAACCACTTTCTCTAATGTATAATAATAATAATAACAACAACGCATTTCACGTAATTTAAACATATTGTTTTGACCTTTACATTAACTATTAACCCAACAAGCTTTCTTAATGCGTATAACGCAATATTATCTTAAAAACGGTAATGCAAAAAATTAGAATTAGACATTCTAACTAACTCAACAAAAGTTAGTAACATAAGATAGAAGAAATTGTCCTACAATTTTGTAAGATCACTCATGAGCCTGTCTGCCAGTCTATCTTTTAACATCTCCAACAGGTCGGTCTCAAAAATATCGATACGAATATAATTAAATTTTTATAAAGAAATATTGTAAATGTATGGCGAAATCTGGGATTAATCATCCCATTTGCAATTGAAGTAAGATACATAATACAGTAATGGTTCGGGAAGATATTACTTTTAGACGTGGCTGTTTTTTTTTTCACAACCACAAAAGGTAGATTAATACAATGGGCATTTTAGCAACAAAGAAATTCACGTAGATTCTACAAGTACTTACTCTACATGCTCATTATTGCAATTGCGTAATAATTGCATGTGTAAATTATGTGAAAAAAGTACCTGCTGTAGAATAGCTGTATATCTAATATGCTGGTTAGTAGGTATACTTTAGCATAAATTAAAAATGCGACACAGGAACCTACCTGATCTTTTTTCATAGTTGTATCTTGCACATCAAAATCTTTTTTTTTTTTGTAATTGTACCTACTTATTTCATTTTGTATTTAAATTAAATGTTTAATAACAATCCAGCAGTATTTCTACAATAAATTAAGTCAGGCCGAAGGTCGTGTAGCAATTAAATGCCCATGCATATTACCTATGTAGAAATAGACAAAAATGCCGATTGATTATCTTATAGGGCACTTAAATAATAATAAGACCAACAACTAGAGAATTATACGACACATGTATTTGTCTGATAACCGAACACACTTGTTTAGTTTAGAAAGCAAATTCAATGACGGGGACTGTTGCTTTTATACGTAACAAGGACATTTTGTTATTAAAAAATTTAGTATGGTTTTTCGAGATGGATTTTTTATTTTTAATCCACTGATTCGCGAAGCGGTTACGTAAAATATTTTCAGTTGACTGAATAAAGAGATTAACAGCATACACATTATCTAATTAGTTTATTATTGTTACATCGCTGATTGATATTTTTTTTTAGAGTAGGCTGATAAACTAATTTTATTTCTAAAAAAACATTGCAGGTAATATAAACATTTAATAAACCTACGTAATATAACGGAATGGATTGAAAAACTTGAATAAATCAATTAATAAAACGGCATGAAGGTTTTAATTATATTTCGAAAGATTATGCTGGAAAACGACCAATGAATATTGGTTCTATCTTATTATTATAACACCCGCAGATAATTAGATTTTATTATTAGTGAACTAATAACTTTCTGTTATTGTAGTCGATCTAGTCAATTCACAAGTTGAAGAACTGGTTGGTGATTTTACACACAGACAGTAGGCACAAAAATATATAAATTATAGCCTTGTTCTTATCGTAAAACTAATTAATCCAATTGGAGAAAAAGTCTCGCGATTACTACGTACTAGGTCCAACAAAGTGGTGATTTTAACTTGTACACGTTTATATTCGTTTAAAAATTTCAGTGTTTAAATATGCAAATTTGGACAATTGTATTATGTAGTATACTCCTTTAGGCAAATCATCATGTTAGTAGAATTACATCACCATGAACCAATGCAAACAAAACAATTACAGTGGTCATTTAATGATGGAAAATACGCCAGACTAATAAGATAGGAGTAGAATGTAGAATAAGAAATACATCACTTTTTTTATATATCGTCATTGACACACAAAAACTCATAGTAAGAAAATACAATAGTTATTATGTACGTCTTCTTAAAATTTCGTACACATGAAGGCTATAAGCCTTAAGCGTTTGATAAAATTATCCTCATGTCTAGAAGAAGGGTATTCTTTGCTTGTAAAATTACTGTAGGGTTTTTTTAAATTTTGTTAATAACTTCCGTAATAAAATTGATAAAACATAATGCACAGGAAGTGAAAGAGGTACCTGCTGTAGATCGGCTACCGGTACAGTACGATTCCACCCCGCGGTCNCCGACATAAAAAGTTGCGGTGTTATTAATTAATAATATTATCAACAACATATTGCCACTGTAATAATCCAATGTATTTAAATCATAAACATGATAACAAACAATATCAAAACAATGACACCTGGGAGATCTCCCTCAGCAAATAATAGAGGTTATGTTTACATACATATATAAATTAAATTTATCACAGGCTACACAATTTATATTAAAACTAAACGTTTTATTGTAAAAAATTAACCATGCACCTCGTAATTTTTAATTTTTATCTATTGCACTTACCTTTCTTCCTGTAATCTTTTTAACTCTACCATTTCCAATTCGAAGCGAAGATTGCTGACTTCGCAGAGTAGTAAATCCCTTTCGTTAGCCACCCCATCTAATTCCCGTTTCAATCGAATTATCTCTTCATGTTGTTCGCGAATAAAAGCATCTTTTTGTTTTAATGCTGCATTAATGTCGAAATCGCCTCCTGCCATTTCGAACCTCCCACTGTTGTGTTCACACATTTCGAATTAAAAAAAAACAATAACTTTAACACGAACACACCGAACGACACGTTCCATGTAAATTTTGGAACAGCTATAAGTGTTTTTTAAAAAAATATCAAAGTATCATCCACCCCCATCTAAGTTTCTTTATATTTTTTGTGAAATGTACTGTCAAGCTAGATACATATACACGCCACCTTGCTAAAGCACCCGTTTATCGACGTTGCCGTTTCTGATTGCAAAAATTATCATCATGCAATCGATTAACTACAGTAGCCAATAAATTTAATGAAAAAACGATTAATTAGAATGATATGAATTAGAAATTTGTAGCATAACATCAATTCAATGAAATAGAACAAGACTTTCGTATCTTTGTTAAATGTACATGCACTTTTCATCTGAGACAAAATTTAAATTCGTTTCTTTTTAGCTTGTTTTATGTGATAATATAAATAATTCAATTTAATATGTATGTAGGTGCATAATTAATTTTCTTAGATTAATAGGTTCTAAATTATAAGACCTAATTTTCGGTCTGTTTTACTAAATTTTTCTGTAGTAAATATTGTTTACACTCGAATTTTTTCTGCGAATGCAGCTTATATTTTATGATTTTTTATCAAAGGACAGCATCACCTTTTGAAAAATACGACGCTGTGTAGGGAAATTCGTACAAATACTTTCAGTATTACGTAGCTTCCATTAGTGTACAAATTCAGAAAAAATTATTTAATTAAAAAAAAAATATAATAGAAAATATGTTTATGAAATTGTAGAAAATGCCATCATTTTCTATTAATTCTACCTTGAAAACTGCTTAGTTTAAGCAATTAACTTATGTAGACCAGTAAAGCCAATAATAAATGATAAAGGCCACTCCAATCAGTCAGTATGTTCCTTAACTATACCAACTGACTACAGTATGTGTTACATGCTTTATTGTAATGCTTATATCTGTATGTCCTGTATTGTATGGTTTAGTACGTACCTACCGGAAAATAAAGAAAATACAGTTATTTCAAACTGTAGCCTTCATATCAAACATGTTGCACCGTCAAACATTAACTTCAGGTGTAAAAAAGTTAATTTTTGACGAAGCAATCCGTAGCTGTTAATAATTCTGTAAAAATCCACCTAGTGATTTTCGTGGTATATTTCTTTTGGGATTGAAAATGTAAGAAACAAGAATTGAAAATTATTGTTGTGTATATTTGGTTGCTAAAAAAGAACCTGTTGTTCGGTCATTCAGTCGCAGGAAGTAAATACATTTACTTTCCCTTATTAACAAATCAATTTAAAAAGGTAACTGTGACACTGCACTTTCTATATTTAATGTACTTCCTGTACTGTCCTGGCAGTACATATACATATAACAGCGTCTATTACAACATCTATTATTTGTTCGGTTATTCCAACAAGTNTGCTTTTTCTATTGATTTACAGATGGCGCGGATGTAGTTTCTATTTCTTTGGATAGCAGTATCTATGAGTCGAGGTATCTATGATATATGATATTCATAGATATATTGTGGTTGGATTTTTATTTGGAAAAATATCTTGTTGAAATCACATTATCTTGCTTAGGTGTTGTTATTATTTCATTTTTGTAAAACTGGAGTACTGTTTTTTACTATTTCGTGATAGTTATCTGCGTTAAAACAACTATATTGTGTTTTTAAAGACGGATCAATATTTTTGCGCATTGGAAGTTCCTTTCGGGAGACTTAACTTATCGAGTGCTTGACCTAGATAAAATGAACAAATTTTACTAAAAGTGCTATTGTAATAGTGAGCGAATAGTTTTGAGCAAGTTAATTTATCGGTTGGTAAAAAAATCTTCTATTTCTGTCTGCAGAAGTCAATATTGTGCTGCTCAAGTTTAAGCATTCGCGATCAATTCAGAACTTATTTCAACTGTTGATGACCTTGTAGACCGGGAAGGGAAATAGTAACCGAGAAATCGGAAAATATTGATATGTCTTTCTTAGTTAACAGTGATTGTTAATAGTTTGTTGTTGCTATTTCGTTTTAAGAGAAGAACATAAATATTCAAAATGTTTTCTGGACTAACCAATCAAGTCAGTTCTTGGATGGGGTCTGTTAAAGGTGACCAAGAAGAAAAAGTTCCCACCCCTACTGAGGAGAATACTAGCATTGATACTGCCGCCCCTGAAAAGAAAGATATTAGGTAAGAATCTTAATTTATCCACCTGCATGTTAGTCTTATTGACACATTGACCTGTTATTGATTATAATTTTGCATTTTGAGTTAATCACCACTTAGAAGATATTTGTTTATAATGCATTAAAATATTACTTTTAGTCCAACCAAAGCTGGTAAATTGGACATGTTCTCTAATGTGAAAAGTCAAATTGGTGGTATAGGAGGTTGGCTAGGTTCAAATATTCCAAAATTCCGAAATAAAGAAGGAGAAGAGCAAGATCCTAATGATCCACATCAGTATCAACCAGTTGGAGATGCTGAAGCTCCTTCAGACATAGTTAATGTTCAAAAGAAAGATGAAGACGATGATAATTCAAGGTAAATATTCATACTGATATTAAAACTAAACAGCAGCAGAGATGCTTTAGTCTTCAAATTTGCAGTGCTACGGGTGGAGCTGATTCTGCTCCTCAGTCTGTTCCAGAATCACCAACTGAAGATAAGGATGGTCAATTTGGCAATGGTAAGTTACAAAATAACTCCCTGATTGCATCAGTTTGAGCATTTTACATTTGTATAAAAGTAAGTTTTGAATGTTGATTAATTAATTAAGTAAATTTTTTTGGATTTTTCAGTACAAAGTAAAGCTATAGCAGGTGCAAAATCTTTTGGAAGTTTCTTGTATTCTGCTGTCAATAAAGCTGGCAAGACTGTGAGTGAAGCTGGAGCTAAAATTAAAAAGACAGTTGAAGAAAATGTAATAATAATTTTGTTTTTATATAATTTGTTATTTGTAAAAGTAAATATGAATATTTCAGAGCATTTTGGGTGAATTTAACAAAGAACAAGAAGCATTTGTTAAACAACAACAGCAGGGAGATGCATCCAGTGCTCTCCCTCCATGGGTTGGTTCTCCAAATGAGGAGAGTTTGAAAGAAGAATGCTTAAGCTTGTCCACAGACAGGCGTAATTTCCTTCGTAGTCCACCAGCAGGTGTTGATTTTCACTTTGACTATGATATCTCTTATCCTGTTGCTATGGCCATTATGGAGCAGGATCCGAATTTGGAAAAAATGCGCTTTGAACTTGTGCCTAAAGTGTATGTATCTTATGTCATACAATGCATTTCGTTTGTTTATTTATTTACATAAATTCTCTTATACAGAATCAGTGAAGAAAACTTTTGGAGGAACTACTTCTATCGTGTTAGTTTAACTTGTCAGGCTAATGAATTGAATATGATGTCTAGAGAAGGTGAAAATCAGCCCGGTACTGAAACCGTTACTTCTGGGCAACCAATAGGTATTTGTAACGAAGTTATCAAATTTAATTTTTTCCTTGTTTGCAATAGTCGAAACAGAATTTTTCTGAACACATCAAAGACTAAAGAAATTTTTTGTATTTTGTCACTGTCAAAAATTTATTAAACATATAGTAATATTCTACCTAAAGCAAAAAATAATTGTACTTCGAAGAGAGCTGTATAGTCCGGTTTGACGGCGCTGGTCCAGAATAGATGATCCTTCAGTGAGTTCACCATTGGAGTCATTTATCTGACATTTTCTTATCAGCTGGTGTTATTAGTATCATTGGGTAACGTGGTGAGGGCGTAAAATCATTCGGCACAGCAGTGTTTATAAGCCGTCACGATGTTCCCTGAGGATGCCAATTACAGCAGTTGACGAAACGACGGATAAACGATTCCATCGGAGGATTTAGCGAAGGAGAAAAGCCAATTCTGCGCTACCATTATCGCTCGAATATGGAGCTCTCTTCAGATAATGTCAGCCATGAAAACCATATCATTTTCGGTACTTGCTGCCCTTAATGTTTTAAGTAATAACTGATTTATATCCTTTTGCAAATTAAGCTTTTAAAATTTTCTAGCTGGAACCATATCTTATTTCATTTTCGTTTTCTTATTTTTTCTTTTATGTTAGAAAAAACTGAAAAGAGCCAAGGGTCACATGAATTTGTTTCTGATACTTTGCAAACTTCCTCTAAAGACCTTGTTGAAGTGCAGGAAGGTATGAAGAAATTAACTCTTGGCTCTAAAATCAAAGGTAAGTTATAAGCTTGTCATTGAGCTTCTTATTCTTCTTTATTTTTAATTAGTAGTAGTAAGTTTATTAACTTTGGTGTTATTCTCCTAAACCTGTTAATGTTGGGAGAATAATAACTGATTTGTTTTAAAATGATCGCTGACAGTTAGTTTCCTGTTTAATTGACAGCTTAAGAGGAAAGGGTCAACATAGCATCCGATAAGGTTTCTAATACTCTTCTGTCTTAGTGTATTTCATTTGATATGCTAAGAGTTGGGAGCTCTTGCATTATCATAATCATAAAAAAAAGAAACAAAAACAAATTACTTTGCCTGTATAACATATGTAATATATTGTTAGAGGGTAATCAATCCTTTATAGAACAGTATTAATAATTTGTATTGTGATCAGTACCTATCTGCTAATTTAACTATGTATCTGGTGGTTCCCACACTGCCGCGCTCTCCTTAACTACTAAGTGGTTCTTGTAATTAGAAGTCACAGCTTCCTCTTTATTTTTTTGTTTTATTTTTGAGATATGTGCTAACACTAATAGTAAATACTCAAATACTGCATTGGTTTAGGAGGAATCAAACTTTTAACTGCACTTTATCTTTCCTGCAGAAACATAACACTTTTGAGCATCAATTGTTTGAAAATGTTTATGTACATCTATCATAACAATCACTTATTTAAATAAAAAATTATTAAGAAGCATTTTAACTGTATTTCACAAAAGAAAATTTGATTTCAAAGTAAGCCCCAACGAAATACGTGTAAGCTAACGGCGCTCTGTTTTCTTGTAACTTTAATATTTCATATTAATTTAATTATTTAATATGCATATTTACATGTGGTTTTTACTTGCACATTATCACATGAAATTAATCTTGAATAGGTATTTTGCATATAAATACACAAATTGTTACCACCTTGCCCTTTATAAACACGAAGTGGCAAGTGCTTTTTTTTTCTTAATAAGAGGTAAATAAAAATAAGGAGCAAAGCTGTAATCTTTTTATTAGATCCTCTAAATGTTGTACTTAAAATGTGAACAGTATTTTGTGTTAATATACATGTAAAAATGTGAAAGTTCATGAACAAGGTGAATCGATGTTCAAATGACAATATCTTTATAATTGATTTTACTTGCAAGTGGTTAAGTATTCTGGCATACTATGCTTAAATGGTATTCGTATTAAATTAGATTGAAAACGTCCAGGATTACTGTTGTTATGTTTGGAAAAATGAAATTGATGGAGATATTTGCTGCCATATCCTGGACACTTACGTTTGTTTATCTGTATAGTTTAACTCAACTGTCTGATACTCTTGAAGCGTTTACAAAATTTTAAAATGTACCTTTAAGAATGTTGTTGGCAATAGTTTGCAAAATATAAAAGTTGAGAAAGTTGTATAAGGAGTTTTACAGTGATTTTGAATATTTACACGAAACACCAATAGTAACATTCTTAACAATTGAATAAATATTTGAACATGTACACATTGTGGTGCTATNTTTTAGAGTAGGCTGATAAACTAATTTTATTTCTAAAAAAACATTGCAGGTAATATAAACATTTAATAAACCTACGTAATATAACGGAATGGATTGAAAAACTTGAATAAATCAATTAATAAAACGGCATGAAGGTTTTAATTATATTTCGAAAGATTATGCTGGAAAACGACCAATGAATATTGGTTCTATCTTATTATTATAACACCCGCAGATAATTAGATTTTATTATTAGTGAACTAATAACTTTCTGTTATTGTAGTCGATCTAGTCAATTCACAAGTTGAAGAACTGGTTGGTGATTTTACACACAGACAGTAGGCACAAAAATATATAAATTATAGCCTTGTTCTTATCGTAAAACTAATTAATCCAATTGGAGAAAAAGTCTCGCGATTACTACGTACTAGGTCCAACAAAGTGGTGATTTTAACTTGTACACGTTTATATTCGTTTAAAAATTTCAGTGTTTAAATATGCAAATTTGGACAATTGTATTATGTAGTATACTCCTTTAGGCAAATCATCATGTTAGTAGAATTACATCACCATGAACCAATGCAAACAAAACAATTACAGTGGTCATTTAATGATGGAAAATACGCCAGACTAATAAGATAGGAGTAGAATGTAGAATAAGAAATACATCACTTTTTTTATATATCGTCATTGACACACAAAAACTCATAGTAAGAAAATACAATAGTTATTATGTACGTCTTCTTAAAATTTCGTACACATGAAGGCTATAAGCCTTAAGCGTTTGATAAAATTATCCTCATGTCTAGAAGAAGGGTATTCTTTGCTTGTAAAATTACTGTAGGGTTTTTTTAAATTTTGTTAATAACTTCCGTAATAAAATTGATAAAACATAATGCACAGGAAGTGAAAGAGGTACCTGCTGTAGATCGGCTACCGGTACAGTACGATTCCACCCCGCGGTCAAAAGTAAGACCGGTAAAGTCTTAATCTACTATAATTGTATACAGGTAAGGCAAAATATTCACCGAACGCAAAAATTACTTTTTTTTGTGAAAGTGTAAGGTATATTTTTCAACCACATCTATCAGAAAACATCGCCTGTCCTAAACTATCAAAACTCTCAACCTTTTGAACAAAAAGTTATACGGATAGTAATACCAACGATTTTGATGACACCCGAACATTCGGGGAGGAATCGTGCCAATCCTTTTGACCACAGGGCGGTAGTTGTATCGATATTAAATTTATTATTATGTGTAGATAAGCACCTGACAGTGGTGACGTGTTTCCGGAATAGGGGTAGACTTCCACAGGCATCGGTAACGGTGACATATCGGCTGGACTGTTGATGACGAGTGGTGCACATTATTCGCACCCTGTCGTGAACAATAGAGTGATGCACCCTCACAATAGTACGATCACTCACGAGCATACGAGAATTGCCACCACACGCGTTATTATCTCTCGGGGCGAGTACATGATGTCCCCGCATGATAACAACAACGAAAAACAAATCACCTTTTCCTCATTACGCACCAAAAATGTTATTAACAATTTATTTAACAGCAGTAGAAACAACAACAACAACAATAATAACAGCACCTTTTGCACTTGACTGTTACTTCGAAACTGGCTGCGATATTCAACAGTAAAAGTGAACAACCATCTATAACTAACTAACTAACTATCCAGTACTCTAAGCCGTGTTCAACCGCGAGTACCGCGAAACTTTCTATTGACTATTAGCGCAGTTCCTTTTTTTACACTTGGAACAAATTTTTCGCTTTTTGGACACAAGGCATTGTTTCTATTTTCTTTCTTTAATAAACTAATCCACCAGCGGGTGCTGTCAGCTGACTATTAAGTTTCTGTTATTATTTTTGCTGTAGAAGAGAAAGGTGTCAGTGGCGCAGAAGTGGGATCCAGCACGAAATACTGACGTCACCTGAAGACCTTGATGCAATTATATCATTGAGAAAAAAAAAAAAACAACAATCTGCACCATACGGAAAATAAATAATATCATATTGAATATCCCACTGACCAAAAATTTTCTGAATTTTTGAAAATCCAAAGAAAATTTATGGTTTTTCTTTTCCAAATAGAAGCGAGATCATAAAAATTACTTTAGCTTTTTGCATTCAGACATAGGAGTTGAAAAAAGTCGTGTATATCTCACATTTATTCGCCCCTCCTTCTCTCTCCTTAGCTAGAAGAGTACAATGGGTTGCTAAAAACCACGGCGGGTTTAAACTTTAACCGGAAGTACATATTCATTGCGGATGCTGTAAAACTACACACGTTTATAAATGCCAACGTGTACCACAGGTATTGTAATAACAATCCAACCATTGTTAAAAACAATTACCGGGTAGTGTTCATAATTGATAATTTTTTAAGAAAATTACGGTAAATAAAACTTAATATATAAGTATAGTTAATATGCAGAGTCAATAGGTGCAACAGCGAAGTTCTTTAAGGATATTAAAAAATAGAAGTCACCATTTTTTAAAATCACTTCCTCTTAAAATTGCAAAAATCAAAGGACAGCATCACCTTTTGAAAAATACGACGCTGTGTAGGGAAATTCGTACAAATACTTTCAGTATTACGTAGCTTCCATTAGTGTACAAATTCAGAAAAAATTATTTAATTAAAAAAAAAATATAATAGAAAATATGTTTATGAAATTGTAGAAAATGCCATCATTTTCTATTAATTCTACCTTGAAAACTGCTTAGTTTAAGCAATTAACTTATGTAGACCAGTAAAGCCAATAATAAATGATAAAGGCCACTCCAATCAGTCAGTATGTTCCTTAACTATACCAACTGACTACAGTATGTGTTACATGCTTTATTGTAATGCTTATATCTGTATGTCCTGTATTGTATGGTTTAGTACGTACCTACCGGAAAATAAAGAAAATACAGTTATTTCAAACTGTAGCCTTCATATCAAACATGTTGCACCGTCAAACATTAACTTCAGGTGTAAAAAAGTTAATTTTTGACGAAGCAATCCGTAGCTGTTAATAATTCTGTAAAAATCCACCTAGTGATTTTCGTGGTATATTTCTTTTGGGATTGAAAATGTAAGAAACAAGAATTGAAAATTATTGTTGTGTATATTTGGTTGCTAAAAAAGAACCTGTTGTTCGGTCATTCAGTCGCAGGAAGTAAATACATTTACTTTCCCTTATTAACAAATCAATTTAAAAAGGTAACTGTGACACTGCACTTTCTATATTTAATGTACTTCCTGTACTGTCCTGGCAGTACATATACATATAACAGCGTCTATTACAACATCTATTATTTGTTCGGTTATTCCAACAAGTGTTTCACGATTATAAAAACAAAATAGCATAATTATTAAACGCCGATTGGCCAATGATATTTTAAAAAACGATTGCACTTGATTGTTACGAATGTGGTGGTGACAGCAAACACCAGGAATTGCATGAAAAAGGTGAATGGCACTGATCAAACCATTTATTTCCTATTTCATCTGGTCACAAGAACAACGTTTCTGTAAAGTCGGCGGAAGGAAGTGCATTGTACCTTGTATCAAGAAATTTACTTTGCACTTACAAAAATTCAGGGACGTAACTATAGATTGCCCCAGGTGGGCCAATGCTCATGCAAAAAAACTGACTACGTCCCTGTAAAAATTTAATCTAAATCAGTCCTTTTAAAATTGCTTTAGTTGTAAAAGGGATTCGATACTCTTAACTGTACCAATGGATATAAATATACAGTATTTCAAGAGTTTTACATATAAAAAAATACATATTTAAACTAATAATGTAGGTATAATACACAAACAAAATAGCAGAAATAATAATAGAATTAATTGAGTAGCTATACCTACATTGTATTCTTAATTAACATACACATAGCTACCTAAACAATTTAAGTACATAAATGTATGAAGAACACAAAATCCTTTTTTTTTCATTAGCGTTAAATTTTGGTCTAAGGATAAGTTATTTATTTTAACGTGTGAATAACTATACATGTAAACACACTTACTTATTAGAAGGGAGGATATCGACACTGTAAAACGTTAAATAAACCAGAATGTCACACACAACTCTTTAATGCTAATAAAATTGGTAAACACAAAAATATAAAATTTTAGCGTTTATTATTAGTGAAGCTTGTGTTTAAATTGGTGACGCACATACGAGAAAAGTGTAAGAAATTGAAAAAAGAAAGAAAGAGTTTTTTATTTATATACTGTAATCTACATCCTTTGAAAA